TTTATTACCACTGGGAAATGCAGCCGACTTTAATATCCGTAAGTTTATTTTTCCCAGACTTCACTTTCTAGATCACTATCTGCCTAGACACTGTCAGTTACTAATATGTGTACTCAAGGTGAGTTTAAGGGTACTCAATATTTTGTTCTCCATGTGATTCAATTTCCAGGCAGCACTATATTAGCGTTTGTCATTTAAGGCAGATGTCACATTATCCCAAACAAATTAAAGACCTTTATACTGATTTTTCTGAAACCAAAGTATTGAAGTTGTGGAATGTATCCTGAATTTCAAAGGTCTTCTTGGAGGTTATGTAATAGGAACAATCTTTTCCTTGGGTATCCCACATGCCCCCCAAAAATTCAATGAGGTGTGGGAAGAAGGACTCAGCTGAAAGGAGTTATGAATTAACACTTACTTACTTATCCTAATTGGCTAACAAACACTGGGGTGTGAAGTACTAGACCTGAACCTAATTTCAGTAGTGTAGGAAGGAGCTTCCTGAACTCCCCTCGAAGCGAGACACCCCTGCAGCATCTTCTTAAAAATATGAGAAAGGATTGCTCCTTTTTCCTTCCCAAAGACAGCAGTCAATGCAATATCAAAGTTTCAGGGAGATCCATACAGAAAGTAAACACACTTCCAGCTCACGGGTTCACCTCTCTCCTCTAGCAGAAGTACTCCATTCAAATCCACATTTACCAGTTTTATAGGGTTTCTGAGGAGGGATTCCATCTTCTTTATTAAAGCTGTTGTAGAACAGATCGATTTGTTGCCCATACCACAGGACAGGATGACCAAAGCCCCCCAACAGCATCTCTGCCTGGCCCTGGCTAGGGCCAACAACCTTGTCCCTGCAAACCTGGACTCTGAACAGAAACATTCAGAGCAGTGCAGGGACTGAAATGATGACCACTGCTTAGGAAACATATGCTCTGCAAGTGCCAGTGATTAAAACATACTTCTTTGCAGTCATATAAGGATGTTCCTGCTTTGCATATTGGTTGCTTCAGATACCATTTGGAGGCTGTCATTCTGGAGCCTGGGAAGCAAACTCAGGACTGAAGGCTCCGCTTTGAGATTTAGGTACTTAAAATCCCTTTGAAAAACTGGCCTGTTTATTCCTGTTCAGTTGTGTTATTGTTGATGTCTGACTAATGCAGAAACTTAAGGAGCTGAATGCTTGACATGGTAAACATAATGCTAAACTACTGCTTGTTGCATTTGCTCTGTTTTTCCTGGTATGTTCTCAACTTTTAAATAAGTTGTAGGGAAAATTAAATATACTTAGTTTATGAACTACAAAAGACTTCGAACTGTGGCATGCTGCCTAATGGCAGAACAGCAACATTGTGCCTTGGTACCAGTAAACACACATCGGGAAGCCCCATCCCAAAGCTCTTGATTATTACCAAGCTGCACAACCTGCAGGGGTAGTGCTACTTTGGGGAAACGTAAATAAATAAAAATCAAGCAAGGAAATTTCTTTGCAAAAGAAGCCCAAAAGTTTGCAAGCTAAAGAGAGAGAACTTCTGTTTTAGCAACTTCAGCAATCTCTTACCATCCTGGAAGTAGAATTAATGAAATTTACATTGCATGTAAATTGAGCATGGCAACATGTAGGGGCCACGGTGCTTGTACGTCTCTTCTCAAGGAAAAATTCATTCAGAAATAAAATGTGTGGAAAAAATGCCTACTCATCTTGGCTTTCCACATTAAAGAATAATTTCATTTAGCAGAATTTAGTATTACTTTTCTTAGCTCTGCATCCTATCCAGCTATTTCTCATGGAGCATTCCGAGGCTAAATTAATAAATGTGCTACAATCTTCAAAAGATGTCTCAATACCTGCAGTGGCCAAGGTAGGAAGGCTGTCAATCCTGAAAGATGCACTGTCTGCAGAAGCAGGCACATTTCATGATATTTTGCTATTCATATTCTAAATATGTGCTCCATAAAATAACACTGTACCATAATTTAAACACCTGTCTGTTACTGCCTTAAGGATAGGTACATGTCAGCGTGGTGCACCTGGACCCTCTCACATAGGCTACGCCACGAAAGCTGAAAGCAGTTTTACCTAAGAGAGTGCCAGTTTACATCCCCAAAAGTTCCATTCAATAACAGACTAGTTTCTCTTCCAAATCCTTTGCTTCAGTCAACATTATATAGGACTTGTGGGTTTAAGAATTATTTCAAGGACTCAGGAACTATACTCTGGACAAGACTGAGATACGGTGAAGCACTAACTTCCTTTTAAGCTGTCCTGGTTTCAGCCAAGTTAAACCACAACATAAGCAAAACAATATGCAAGTCATTTTACTAAGAAAGCTGCTAAGTCTTAGCATAAAAGACAAAGCTTGAATCCAGACTGACTACCAAATGGAAGCTTTCTATTTCTTTATAGGTGCTATTAATTCTAAATAACACATGTAACATTAGTTTCTGAAACCCAAACTGTTCTGCAAATGTATATAAACATTCATATTTTTCTCATCTTGGACAGTAGAAATGACAAAACAGAAAAACACCTCAACAGTTCAGCCATTCTATCATCAACAAAAGTTTCCAAATACCCTGGCACACATTACAGAGGAATTTTCTTGGCTTAAAAAAAATAAAAACAGATCCTATTGTTTTCTTTCTTTAATCAAAAAGCCTTGTATAAACACCACGTGTTTTTCAGTTCTGACCAGCTTAGCTCACGGTTACCAAGTGAATCAGAAGCAGTTGGAAAGTGTCCACTGCCAGTCCTTAGCTCCCAGCGCTGAATCACACCCTCGCCACTTCCTCCCCCTACCTACAGCCCAGCAATACACACAAAGGCTTAACTTCTGCCAATCTCCATTTGATCCTCTGAGCATCTTCTCTCCACAGAACTTCCATTCTGTCTTTAACCCAATGCACAAAAGAGACCTACAGCTCCAAGAACAATGTTTCTGTCACCTCTCGCAGCCCTCTTTCCATTTTGAGAAGTGAATTTGTCTCAACTCATACAATAAACTCTTGGGAAAAAGGACTGCATAGGTGTATACCTTATTCTTTTATTCAAATTACTAATATAATTAATAAAGGACAATTTTCCAGGAGTAAACTAGTTCTACCAACTAAAGTCTTTATATGGCAATACAAAGGATGACAGAACTAAATTATAAGAACAGAGTGTCTAGCAACTAAACCTTGGACCTGAAAAACACTACACAGAACAACTGAAGAGCAACTGGTTTTCTTTGCTGAAACAAGTACTATTTTAATAGCTGCACATGAACAGCCAGTAATAGTATATGCTGATGAACCATTTCAAAAGACAAAAATAAGCTTTCTTACTGACTTTTCTCCATTGTTAAATGCAGAGGAGCAAGCATATTAACCACAGCTGTTTCACAGACAGAAGGCTCACATGATTTTCTTGGTGAAGGAATACTTCATATAATCTTAAAATCATCATTGCCTGAGACTTCCATTGAATCAACATCTCAATTTATAACAGGACATAAGCCAGCTTTTCCTTTGCACTCAGAATATATTTCCAACACATGGTCAAGGCAAGAAAAAACAAAAGCTCAAAAGCAGCAGGTAAGTCTTGATATGAAAAAAAACTTTGAATCCAAAAGCTCTTCTACTACACACAACTTGGTTACTGGGCAAAACTATACCTAAATAAATAATCATCTCCTGATTTTTGTGACAAAAACTTTTGATATTCATCAGCAGGCAGAATCAGGTCTTTGTCTTTCACTCTCAACAAAAATGTACCCAACATGCTTCCCTGTTTACAAACTTGGCAATACTTCAAAACATGAAGTTAATATTCTAAGTAATCGTTTCTCCCTTCAGCAATGAGAACATGGTACACTCTTTATTAAATGCTGTTGTATGAATAGTGCAACTGCAGTTTAAAGACACAGGCCAAAGAAGGGTTGTTAGGCAGTCTTGTTAGATTACCTAGAAAAAAGCACATAGTTTCAGATATGCACATCCTATTCAGAACTCACATACCTGAAAGCTTCTCTACTTTTCTCAGATACCCTGTAAGTAGTGTAAGAGATTAAGATATTAATCCTACCGAATTTATTCAATCTTTTCTAGCATGTAGCTTATGCACAGTAATTCCTAACTAATAATCTTTAACTGTAGGAAAATAATTTCTTGTCAAAATAAGGAATTGCAAGGGATTGCATGTTCAAAATAATGATTTATTGATGTATTTTTAATCATGTAGCTCCTTGCAAAGATACACTTTATAAATTACGGAGCAAGTATAGGTCTTTCAACAACTGTCACATTTTAATCCTCAAGTCCAGGTCAGTGTTTTGAAAGGAGACGTTCAAAGGTAAATTATGCAAAATGGCTTTTAAGAACTATACTAAAAAGCTCCAGTTCTTTCAGTATCCAAGATACATATATAAGAAGCGGCATTACAGTGTCTGCACTACACCCCCAAGCGACATATGCAGGAGAAGCAGCATAGAGTACCTGCACCAAACCTCAAGGTACACTTCATCATTAGCAGTACACAGCACCTGAACACTACAGCAGCCTCAAAATTTATCTTAGTACAACAAATGCTCAAAGGGTTTACAGCATCTGTAGCAAGGTTAGCTGAAAGGTTAAAACACATTACAGCCAGGTCCAAGTGAGCCCTGCGTAGCTGTGCATTCAGACCTGGACAATGCACATGCAGTATACACCAGCATTTCACCACTGCACTGCAACACTTCCCAAGCAGAGCTATGTACCCTGCAAAGTCACCCTACAGTATAAGAGTACAACTCACTGCCCACATCCCTCTCCCCTTCGTGCCTGTCCTGTCAAGAAGGCAGGCCCCACTGAACTTCTATCAAAATCAAACTGAATTTATCACCAACTGACATCACTGCATTGGTGGGGATGTACCTTCATGGTTAAATCTTATACTCTGTGCTTGCTTGTCCTTGTTTTTTTTTAGCCTTAATATTGATGTTGACAAAATGCCAGATCTTAAAGGCAAACAAAGTAAGTTTAATTTAAAGAAAACATTTATTTGAAGTTATTTTAAATCACACAGTTTAACAGATACCAGACAATTTTCTCCTCTTCACATTTCAAGCCTTCACCACAGACCACACACACTGTCCCTTGGACAGTGAGATTTTCCTATAATAATTCCTTTTGGACAAACCAGTGTCCAGGCAGATGAAAATGCAAACTTTAAGCAGACTGATTTATAAAATCTGTTTAAGAAGAAAATGCAGAACAAAACAACCAACAAAATTTTGTTATCAAATTCTTGTCACAAAGTAAAGGTGTTTAATACTCATAAGCTTGATCTCAAAATAAAACCCCGGCCATTCATAATCAAATAGAACATACTGTCTTCAAAAAATTCCCCAGAATTTTAAAATGTACCAAATATATACACATTTATAACTTAAGTGCTCATTAGCTACAACTTTGTATTCATGCAAGAACTGTGAGGGGAAAAGGTGTTTCTTAGAGCGGCTTTTCTGAAAATGCAGTAAAACTCTTCACTCGTGCAAAGAACAAAGGGGTGTACACTTTGTCAATGTCGAAAGTAGTAACAGCTGTCTCACCAGTCGATCTGCAAAGAGTATTGTAGAAGCTAAATTAGACACAAGTTGCTGTTTGAAGCCCTCTATAATGCAATCATGTTCCACAGCACAGTGTGTGCACCAAACTACAGCCAGGATGTGCCTTTCATGCTGCCTTGTTCTGAAAGCATTTGAATGCTGGCCAAATCACACTATACACTTCTATTTTAATATCAAAGAAACCACTTTCCCTTTCATTCTTATTAGCTCTTAGGCTTGAAACAGTACAGGATGTCACTCAAGTCACCATATTAATATTGAAGTAAAAACCCTCATTCGTTTCAATTAGATCCTTGAATTAGAGTGACAATAAAAACAACTATGTTTGCGAAACTTCAAAAATAAGAAAACCAAGTATTTCTGAACATCAGTGACAAAAAGTATATACCCTCAGAGCTGTGTCTTATATTCACCCTTATTCTAGTTTCAAAAGGTCACCACCACACCGAAAGATAGAGCAGAACCTGGGCAGTACAGAAAATCACCACTGAAGAGAATGTCTGTGATATTGCAACTTCTTCATAAATAAAGTATGAAAAACTAGGGTTTATAAAAGTCATTTTTCTGTTTATGGAATTTACCTATACTTCCACCCCCAGTAGTTTACTTCCTAGATTTATATACTTAACAGTTCAATAGCTAATTATGTCCCAATAAACACTGAATATAGAGATTAAGAAGACTGGAAGACAATGCCTAAATCCAGCCTAAATGCCAACATCTAACATCTGGACAGCCAACTTAACAGTAATTTAGAGCATGAGGTGCAAAAACAGTGGCCATGGCTCTCACTTGGTTAGTGATAAGAACAGCTGGACACATGCCCATATTTTGCACTGCTGTATTACGCAGTCTGTACATTTTACAGTTCTCACATGAAGGGTGCAGACGTTTCTAGCTTGCACATTCACAGAGGAAAAGAAATGTATCTCAAAGAATGTATGTCTTCCAAACCTCTTTACTAGTACACCACACTAAGATATTCCATTCAGTTCTGAAATCATCCAAACACTCTGCATAATGGCTAAAATACTGCAGTTCTACCACTTCAGAAACTTCCTATATCTTTATAAAAAGTTAGTGAATCTTGGGATTTCTTGGAGTAAAAGCTCATTACAATCTGTCAAATCAGGATCAGCTACTGTTTTCAGGACACTTCATTAAAGTCTCCTAAGTATCACAGTCTTTACATCTTCTGTACTTAATACTGGACAAATTAATGTGACCTGTACTTCTGTAAGTAAGTATCCTTCTTTGACCTTATTCTCCATTTACTTACTTGTAAGTTATGTGACAAGAATGATGTATCCAGACAAGTTTGTTGAACCTCTGGCGCCCACTGGAGCACAACTGTAGTCCTACATGAAAGCTGTAATCTGTTTCTTGTGCAGGAACACGTCGGAAATACCTGCATTTGGGGCAGTCAACTGGTTTCTGTACAAAGAGAAAAGAAGTATCATGACCTACAAAGAAACACATTGTGTAACTATTTATCCTGATGCCTAAGTAACTGTGGGGACTCTCATACTTAAAGCAAGTACTAGTATTCCTTGAAAATACATCAATTTATACATTAATTATAGAAGCTCTCACAGAAAGTAAGGTAAGTATGGAGGACAGCACTAAAACTGTGTAAACTCACTGTAACGTAATGTAACACTTCTAACTTTTCACACTTTTCTCTTGACAGACATGTTGTTAATCAGAAATATAAAGTTAGTATAACTGTGACATAAAGTTGACCAAATCATTCAGAGTTCCATTAATGAATACTGCTTAGTTTTATTTAATGTTGAGGAACAGAACTGCATACAGTCAAAGCTGATCTCAGAACATGACCTCTTCATCCTGCCCTTCTGTTTGTTAACAACGCTCACAAACTACCTAATAGCACCACACACAGCAATTAAGACTTTAGGGGGAAAACCGTTGTACAAATGTGAACCAGATATTTATCTGTCCTAATAAAAGGGGGTGGGGGGAAATGTGAGACATAAATAAACATGGTGATTTATTTTTCAACCACTTAAAAAATTCTTTTTTTAATCCACTGGTGTAATGCAAATCTTCAGGTGCCTTAAGACATTCAGTCTGAGGAAAAAAAAAAAACACTAAAAAGCCCCATCTTTACACTATTTTTCTTCTATTCTGTTTTGCTACTTACCTCCTCCTTTTTCTTCATTATTACAGCAAATACTTTGGTTTGATTGTCTGTTTCCTGGGAAAGGCGATAATGGCCAAGCAAGATTGCATCCGTTCTGGAAGGTTAAGAGGATAGGGTCAAGGAAACACTCTGTCTCGGAAGAGTGATGTACTTATGATACAAATATCAGCAATGAGAAGAACACTGGCTGCAAATTGTAATTAAGGAAACTATTATTTTATTTCCATTTAGTAAAGTACCAGGCTCACTGACGATATGATATGATGGAAGCATTTTGGAGGATTGCTTTTCATTTTGCCAAATAGGACAGTAAAGATAATTTAGTCAGTTCTACCTAGCCTACTGCTAAATGCTTTCAGACTTCCAATGAACAGCTAGCTCAAACCTGTTCTGAAGTAACAATTTTCTCTGCTCTCAACAAGTTTGTGAAAACATCATAACGAATTCAAGCAACAATTGAGTCTTATCCCACTAAAATCTTCACTTTCCTTCAGTCAAGGAATTACGAGAAGGCAGTCAATGACAAAATACTATCTGCAAAAGGATTCTAAAACCACCAAGCTAATAGCATATATTCTTCCATCTATCTCCTTTCAAAGTCTAAAGTCACATAACCTTCAAAGGAAATGTAATTACAGTATCAGCGCCTTAAATACAAAAGCATTTTTGCATACAAGTAAAAATTTTTTGTAGTTCTCAGAAGAGAACTATAAATACCTGTAATACAATATAAATAACATTTTATTTTTACTCCTGTTTTGATAAGCCAGTATAGAGAATCTGAGACAAAAGTAAACACAAATTGCCAGGTAAAAGCAAGATGAATTTTATTTCAATAACCTTGTATTTTTAGTCCGTAAGCGAGGAACTATAGATTGAGGATCTTCAGGTGTTGTTAGCATCATAACTTGGCCATCTGGAAAGAATCGCAAATACCTGCAAAAATATAATTACACAACATAAACCTAGAAAACATATCCTTTTTCTTTTGTGCTGTGGGTTGTTAGGGTTTTTTTTTAATAAATCACAGAATGTTTCCCAGAAGGATACAGAACTTACAAGGTAACAGGACTTGAAAATATATTTCCTCACACATGATATAACAGAAAAGAAAGAGAGCAGAAACCAAAAGAGTTTTGAAGATTGAAAGATCAAGTTATGAAGAGTTATGAAAAAGGGCAGAAGTTCACGATTTTTTTCACCTCTATCAAAACAAGACCACCCTGGAATCAAAACTGTCCTCAAGTGAGTTTCTCCACATCCATTGAGACAAATGCATCAGAATCTTAATTACTGTTAACAGTACATGTCATGGACAATGTCGTGTGGACTTTATCAGGTGCTGGGATCTGATCAATTCCTGCAGTACTCAGATACTATGCTACAGTTTGTGAGACTACAGAAACAGCCCAAAGATTCCATGGTTTCTAATAACAGCTTCCAGCCTCAGAAGGGACAGCGGAATGAACAACAAATGCTGGCCACAGCAAGAGGAGAACAGCATAAAAACAGGCTGAGGAAACAAATGGCAAGGTATTTACAGCAAGTTGAGATAGCCCAGACTCTTGATTATTTACAACTGGTTAAAAGACAATTCTTGTATAACTGCTTGTTTTCGTTTTGCTGAAAACAATTATTACATTGGAAACATAAAACACAAGTAATTTGGATAAAAGACTCTCTGGACAAGTACTGCTGTTCTTTACTGTTTAAGTTTTATCCACATGAAATGGTTAACTGAGGATGAAATGTGTTTCTCAGCCCATCTCTAATTATAATAATAAACTCTGTATCTTCAGACCTATTCTAAAAAAATAAACATAGTTTTACACATTGTGGTAGTTCCACTGACTTTTACAGAACGGTTAGTGTTTGTGATATTGAGGGCTGGATTTAAAAGACTTAAGAGAGAGAAACATTTCACTCACTCATTGTACTACAGTTCTACCTGTAATATTCCACTTGGTGCCACGCTCTATAGAAACCATCAAGTGATTGTTCTCCTTGACGTATGTATTTTGTCTTGCTGATATAGACACCTACAGGAAAGGAAGATATAATTATACAAACAAAAATTAAGTACATAGAATATTTAAGATGAAAAAATAAAAACAATCTAAACCTTTTGAGCTTACTTTGGTTACTTAGATACATGGAAGGTTTATATTTTCTTCCCTCGCACCCTTCCCTTTTGTTTAGATGTTCTACAGATTCAAGAGCCCAAACAAATTCAGATTAGGTTTAACGACATCAAAAACATCAAAGCCACCTGATTGCTTCTGTCACTGTTACATGCATTAAAAAAACAAACAAACAAAACTTTATCCAAAAGTACACCTTACCATCAAATCGAACACGAGGCCTCTCCAAAAACATCTCCCTCCAAGAGGTATATGGAACAAGCTTATTGCAGCTCCTACCCCATATTTTCAAGCAGACTTGATGCCAGATTTCAGGATCTCTAGTGAAAATGAGAAAAAAGCAAACCTCGTATTTTTTCTGAAAATCTTGTTTAGCTTTTATGTGTCTAAGTATATATATATATACATATATATACATATATATATATTCCATTATTTTGTTTGGATGCAACTGAAAGAAACTTTCTTGAACAACAAGAGCTCTTAATTTAAAAACACTGACTTATTTACTTAGTCCTGGAGCATTTGAAAGCTACTCCCTTGTCCCACTGAGATTCAAGAACACAATGCCATTTTCAGCCAAGTACAGAACAACAATGTTGCAGCAGCCTGTCACTTCTCTGTGTGGGCATACCAGGATGTCAACACAACAAACATTATTTTGGAGATCTTGCAACTCTAACTCTCAGAGCAGAGCAAGTAAGGCTTCCAACAACATCTTTTATTACAGTGAATTCATCTATCTAACATACCATTAGTGGTGTATTCGAAAGCTGATTAGCACCGTGAGGAGCATAACACGAAAATTGCCACAGGAAGAAAAGGCAGGGCATACTGCATCATGTACGATTCAGCAATAAAAGCAAAAAAATCCATAAACCCACCCGTCCAACACAAGCAATTTCACTCTATGGATTCCACCTCTACAGAGTTTACACGTTTGAGCATAAAAAAGTGTTTTCTTCTTCCCTAGAGCAGAGAGAAGCTTCACTCTAGATAACTTAACTACAATACCTGGCGCAAATGTAAAAACCTCGACAAACAAGAGATAATTGCTCCAATGATCTTAAGTCCAAGTCACTTGAAACCACCCATCGGAAAATGTACATTAGTACTTCCATCGGCAACACTGCAAAGAGAAAATAAATCCTTGTGAGATGGTAGCCTGTAAATCAACAGGTTATCTATAATCCAGGTTTGATCATTACTGAAGTTCTGACTTCCCATTAAAAAAATCCAACATTTTCACATGGCAGCCAGGGAACAAAAAAAACTACAAACAACCTTTAATTAAAAGTGTCACTACATTTAGAAAAAAGTCACGTAAAGAAAGCACAAAAATCAAGAGCTGGAAGCGCATTATAGCAAGATAACAGGGTAAAACATAGCTTTAGACTACAAATACCCACAACTGTTAAGGCGTTACACCAAAAATTCCACAGGTATATTGCCCATGCACGGTGACTGTGAAGCAGTAATTTCTTCAAACTGACCGAGTGTGTAACATTATCTCAAAGCATACTGCTTTTGCATGCCAAGCTAATTAAGTTCAGGTCAGGGTCAGTACTGGACAGGAGGTCCTAAGCCTAACATATCCACTATGAAATTGGTATCACTATATTTTGTGGTACAGCTCCAGTGATTGAAAATGCTATCACACATCATTGTAGTGTTGAACAACTTTTTCTAATGTAACATAAGATAATGACAGAATCCTCATCAAAGCACCACAAGATTATATGATTATTTTCCTACCATTCAGTGAAAAAGCCCTGGAAAATTAAGGCACAAAGGTACACTAAGCAGTAACTAGCAGTTAATACCGTGGCAGAGACTGCAATTTAATAGAATACTGATTTTCAGTGAAAAAAATATGTTTCTTTAAAAACTTTTCAAATTTTCAGAACTTTTCTTTTAGACTGCACTGCTGTATTCCAACAAATCCAATGAGGTTGGTTTTGCAATGAAATTTAATGAAACTTAAGTTTCACATTTCAGAATACTAACATGATAAAAAGTACATAACATCACTGGGCACTAATTTCTGTATTCATTTAACACACATCTCCTTTCATGAATCTGACTTAATTCTATGTTTCGTTATTGAGAAGTCATATATTTGCTTATTTGTAACCACTAAAATCATGTTCCAGTATAAAAAAAAGTTGTGCAGATTAGGGCTACAAGGTACAAAACAGTCTCTGGCAACTTACGAGCACTTTGTTATGTGAACAATTAATGCCTTGGAGAATGCAAGATGCAAAGGATTAAAAACCTCTTACTAAGCAGTCACTTATCAGCCAAAGACTTTGATTATCCATCTTATCATCCATGTTTCTAAGTTTCTTGTAAACTAGGGATCATTAAGACACTTTGCTTCAGACACTGGGCACACCCTGTAGAGAAAATATTATTTCTGGTAAAGAATGCTATCTTGGCCCTAAGCTTTAATTGTGTAAAACAACAAAAACTACTAAGAAAAATCGCTTGTACACTAGGGAGGGGAAGTAAATATATTCAGTATGTCAGTTACATAGCAGAGGTCTGATCCTGTCCTGTACAAAGGGCTCACTGGCATTCCAAGATTATGAATGTCAACAAAATGTAAAATGGAACACAGAAAATCCATTCAACCAAATCTGTTATTTCACACAGTTTCAATTTTCTTTGGGCTGCTGAATTCTGTGACTATTGCACTACTGTGAGGACCAAGAGGAACAGTCATCATTCTAGCCTACTAACTTCTGAAGCAGACATCCTGATCTTAAGAGTTTTCATTCTGCTAAAACCAGTTAGTAAACAAGATACTGTAACACAGGACTGGCAGGAAGGCAGAAAATATAACAGAGACCAAGACTGCTGCTCAAAAGAGACATCTCTTGAAATCATTTTACATTGTCTACAACAATACTGACTTTACTGGGAAAAAAAAAAAAAAAGATGCTTTCTCATGTGTACAATGCCAAAGTTGTTAAAATGTATGCTTTAACAGCTTACTACATTTATTTTCCTTCCCTAAGCAGAACAGAGGAGATCAGAATAAGATTTCCAAGAGCAACTGGTAATTTGGGATGCGAATCAGCATCTCATTTTAAGAGAGTCTCTAACATACATACTCTCTACGTTTTAGATCTTGCAAGGAAGTCTCAGGATGACTGTCTTGGAATCAAAGTACTGAAAAGCTTTACCCTGCAAAAGCCTTTCTAGCTATGCTAGTCCTGATGAACCTGAAAACATGTTTCTTGTAAAGATCTGATACAAAATCAGATAAAACAGGAAATGCAAAGATGCACATTCTCCACAGAACAACTCTCTCTTATTCAGACTTCAGAATTCTAACAATTATTTGCAAACAACAAAAAAAAAACAAACCCCAAACCTACATTTCACTTCTTCAAACACTAACCGGAAGGAAAACTGGAATACACTATATTCAGTAAGTGTGCTCCTAAGAGTTGCTACTTTTAAGTATGACTGATCCTGAAAAATTCTACTTAGTAGTAGTACTATATAGAAAACCTTGTGCAATAAAGGCAAAATCATATATGAAAGCAAGATCTGTTTAGCTAGTTGATGATCTTTTTTCCTTTACATCTAACTATAAAAGTAAACATACTGCATACATTTCTTGAAAAGTGGCTTCAGAATGAAGGAGATGTTTTAACTGAGTGAAACGTGAAACTAAACTCTCACACTGAGTGTATCTTAAGTCATACCTGAGATATGGGTCTGGCTGACATCAACCTCAGGCTGACAAAGTTTGACTGAAGATTCCTGAAGAGCCAGCTGCTGCTGGAAATCCGACAGGAGATCAGCCATCTTGTCCTCCTCTTTGTTATCCTCAGCACTAGAAAAGGGGGAACGCCAACACTGTGATACTGGACAAAACATACCAACAGGTATAGTTCTTTTGGCACCAACCCACGGTCTTACCCTTACTTAATATAGTTGTTTCCTGTATGTTTTTAAAGAAATCTCATTTCATCACGAAGTAAAACACCTACTGCAATCTTACCAAGTTCATTTAGATTTTGCTGGCACCCCTCTGCCAGTAGCAACTTTAATTCCAGTTCCAGTTTCTTTTTGTAATTAAGAGTTCACCATTTTTAGTGAAGTCACTGAAGAACTGCTTGATTCCATGAGAAGACAAACCTCCTCTTTTACTTTCTCTAAAATAAGTCATATGCAGGAATAAATTATAACTGATGGGAAGTTGTATTTTGTCACAATGTAAGATACTGAAAGCAATTAGGGATTTTATTTTTTTTTTTACTCCTGCGTTATTCACTGAAGAGCAACCCCAAGCCTGTAGCACTGCATGGGGTTGTTGTGACACAAATGCAGGAACCAGCACTTCTCCTTAGAATGTTATACCACTAGCCTCAGACATTTATCTGTCCAGATCCCTCTGTAAAGCCTTCCTACCCTCAAGCAGATCAACACCCCCAGAGTGACAGAGGCTTAATGGAGTAGAAAAAATGATGCTAAAAGAAGAAAATAATCTTAAGGAAACCAAAATTTTTATATGACTGCAGTTTACCATCCAGTATTTTCCCTAGTGCACAAATGGACTGCAAAGATTTCATGCTAGTTCTGAAACTAAAGAAAGCATTTAGCTCATATTACTCTCTTTTATACTGAGTAAACTACTGCATGGAAGCTGTCATGCCCTAGGGCAACAAGACTGAGTGAGTAATACCGCATGAACATGATTGGACTTTCCCCCTTTATCTTCAGTTTTAAAACTCTTGATTTCTTGTAGTTATCAGCAGCATTTATGCCTGCTATCACTTACCAGTGAATTGTAAAGCTCTGTATCATAAGCTTGTCTTCACTATGGTATCTGAAAAATAACAACACTTCTGGCCCTAACCCAAATCCTGTCCTCAAATGTTAAGTCTTGGGCTCAAGTCCGGCCAGCCTTAAGCTGCTACACATCTGGGTGTGCTAAGGCCAGAGGTATTCCAATGCTTGCAATGAGGGAAGACTAGACTACTCAATCTATGAGCTCCTAAATACGTTGCTCTGCTTACTGAAAATGCTCTCCATTGGCTGTGTTAACACAAGAATGGTAGTATATTCCCTTGCTTAATTACTGTGCTTATTCCATGGTACAAAGCTTTTACTAATCGATCTTTTTGCCACCTACAATTTTGTACATGATCCCAAATGTGTAAAAAACCACAACTCAGAAATCAAAAGTAATAAAGTGAAAAATTGGTTTTCTTTTTTTTTTAAGTGACAACATAACTACTTGTAAAACTTTCACTGAATTTAACTATCCACAAAAACAAAGCCTGTTACTTTCTTTGAACTACAGCATAGAAAAGTCCTCCTTGGACTAATGCATCTGTAAATTTACTATGTAGCAGTCTATTCAAACGAAAGAGGACGAGTTTTTGAAATGTTGAGAAATTTACAACTGTGCAGCAGAGCATTCACGTGCTTTAGAAACAAAATTTCAGGTTTCAGTACTCCTGTGCCCTTAATTAGTAAATTTTCATACTTACCACCTGTTCCCAACTCCATCACCATCTGGGGACCGTGTATAGGTGATCTTAAACTCTATGTCAGGTACGAGCTGCATTGCTAGACGATAAAACTTGATGGCTGAAAATAAAGGCTTAATGTTTAAACGTGTCTGATACCTACACTAGCTTATTGAAGCAAAGGTTTTTTTCAGAGATGGCTTTAGCTATGAGCATTAAAAAGGCAGAAAATGCCTTTGCCTAGTAAATCTTATTTAGTCTAAACTGATTAGGTTTAAATTCGATACAGAAGAGAGGTACATTAAACACGTATTTTCAAAACTAAAAATTTAATGTATTTTTCCAGGATAAAGAGCTCCCTCAAATGCTCTTCATCTTTTACAGATTTACCTTAACTACTACTAATTCAATTATGCAGTACAAAATTTTACACTAAAACATTAAAAACTCCTGATTTTGTTTGTGGCCCAGCACTTACTAAGCTTTCTCAACATCATTATACAACATTATGGAGGTGAGAAACATCAACAACAGAGTGTTGTAATTTTAAAATTTAACAGACACAAGTAAATTTTACTGTAGCAAAACCCTGGAAGTTACAAAAAGCAATGAAGCAAGCCACTTCATACAGGGTGAGGAACTTGACTGGAGGAAAGCAGCCTTGTCAAAAAGCTATACAGCAAGCACAAGATTATGTGATGTGAAGGTAAAACTGACAGACTGGATTTCTTCTAGCACGCAGAGAAGTACTTCTGCCTTTACCACTCCAAAGATGCTACAAACACAAGTAGAGAAACAGGTCCAGGAAAATCACCCTGTGGGAATGAACCATTATTTAAGCTGCAGAGTGTCTTTCGAGTTAACTCTGTGGATCCTACCAGTGGATTCATTGTTATGTACATTGTCATTTTAATACCACTGTTAACATTGTATACATATTCATCTCTCTGTATTCCCACATGCTGATCAGAGGGCAACTTTCCCTCAGTCTGAACCCTTGAAAACAAAACCCAAAGTAAAATATCAATGAGCGTGGAGCTCAGAATTTAACACACTAGTGAGTCGGAGAAGCCTGACTTCGGGGCAAATAAGTGTTCCTATTTTTTCAAGTTCATTTCAGGGCTGGTTACTGACAAGTAGCATCCTTTGGCTGATGAGGATGAAGAATACCAGGAGTCAGCTAAACTGAGATCAGTGTCAATTCCTGAATTTCATCTTGCAGCAAACCTGTACTGTACTTAAACATGAGCAAGCTGCTGCACGTATCTGTCTCACATACATCAGCTATTAGCAGATTTCAGAAGCAGGCTGAAATGCCACTTGGATTCTGGTGACCTGAGCCATGTCAGCAGATCAAAGGTGTGGACTGAAAACAGGTGTCCTGACATGTGCTCAATAATGTATTTGTGTCTGGCATAGGACCTTGTATCTAAGGTCTCATATAGATGTATGTGTAGGAACAGTTTAGTTTTGCTTCTTTAAGTCTCAAATCAAATTTAAATGAGAAATAATGGATTCATATTCATGCAATCTAGATGCCTAAAACACATCTGTGAAAGCAACTGTTAAATGTTACTATTTCTCTGCTGCTATGTTTAACATACAAGGAGTACACTCAAGCTGTAGTGTTCATTTTATATACACAATGCTTAAACAGACTGCTTTCTTCACATATTGTTTCTAAATTTACTTGGAAATTGTTGGTATGAAAGAATCTTTATATTGTACTACATGATTTCCTATATGGCAGATTACATACCAGACCTAGTTCTGATGTCTTTTTTCACTGTGCATTTAGTTATACCAAACACACAAAATACCTTAGTCTGAAATAATTTTGCCCTGTAAAAGCAGGTACTAAATTAGAAACTGACCAACTACTTCTCTTACCTACTGGGGGCTCTTACGTCACTCAGTTCGTTTGAGATCTGGAACAACAACCAGAAATCCCTCGCAAGGGAAAGAAGATTTCCATGGCAGACATGAAATTTTGTATTCAACAGGTGGCTGAGTTCAGGAGCTCCCAGAGTTCTGCATATCTTGACATACGTTGCACTTGCACTTTAGCCAAGGAGGCCAAAACCTCTAGTGGATGAGCAGGATGACACGTATGTCCTGTGTTCCTTTCTTTTGCCACAGAAGAAATAGAAACTGGTATTTCCACTACAGACTTACATGACTTGAAGTTAGAATGGGCTTCTTACTCTATATATATTTTGAAAACTAAATATGAGGAAGAAAACTTTGAATTTGCAGTTTTCCTAATGCTGACAGCAAGAGGGCAAGCAAGCTAAGTATCTTAAATATTTATGGCAAACCTGGTAACATAAGACTACCAGATTTAAACACTCGCTTCAGGAATTCTTAAAGAAGCTATCTTAGCTATTTGGAAGCATTTTAGCAGTTAAACAAATAAAAAACAAATAATGAAACACAAAACATTCCACAGGTTAAGCAGTTCTGTTCAAAGTGAAATGAAGAAAACTGTGAGCACAGGAAATATAATATATTGCCTTGATTAATTACTGTGCTTATTTCATGTTACAAAAGTCATAAGAAGCAATGTTATATGAAGGAGCAATCCAGTGCTTCATTGAATTACCAGATTTCAAAATGCTGTTGTTTTGTCTGAAAGCTAAAGATTATTCTCTTGATCTCACTTTAGCTTCACCTCAGCCTTAGAACTGTATTCCTTTTATAGCAAGTGTGCTTGCTTATCTGAGTAATTGAGCTCTCAAATTACTATTAGCCTGCAGTTTAAGTTCACTGGCATCATGCCGTCCTGCACATAAATTAGAGGGTTAGATTCTGCTGCAATAAAGACGTTCATTGTAGATTTTCACATTACCTTCATTTCACATTACCTTCATAAAGGGCCCCATTTCGTTCTTCTTCCACTGCCTTCAGGAAAAGTTCTTTTGCCTGCAAAACAAATTATACAGAACAGTTCCTTAATTCCTTACAAGTGCAATGTCACTTTACTTAGAATATGCTACAAGCCGTAACTGAAATTTCCAATCAACAAGCTATCTAAGTTCCTGATGCTCACCCCTTACCTCCAGCCTTTAAAAATGAAGACTGGAAGTGTGACACAAAGCCAAGAACAAAAACTACAAAAATCGGTGTAAGATTAGGGAAAGACATTTGTATGGAGACAACAGGTTAATCACCTCTCTTGTTTCTCTCTACATAATTCAGCATTAGCTTTTATGACAGTTATACTGCAATACTAACACGCACACAAAAAAAATCCCCAAATTACACATTTATGTCTTTGTACCTTTTCCTCTTTTGCAATCTCCTGTGTCCTTCTGGCATCTACAGACTTTACTCCAGGTCCTTTTGAAGATGCTTTGCATGGTGGAGGTTCCAACCCACTAGAACTCACACCTGGGGCAAGCTCAAACATCCACTGAGCTCTGAACATCTGGAGCTCTGCCTAAAAAATACAATTAATTCTGATTTAGTATCACATGTTCAAACAATACATCTTCTGAGGAGTATTACAAACACAAAAAATAATTTCAAAATTATGCTTCACACTTTCAAGTCTTAAATAGTTTCAATGAGTTTAGACACAATTCGCAATTGTTTTATAGTAAATTTAAAAAAAGTGCACAAATACCTGTTCAATCTCATTCAGTAACGTAAGTGCTTTTACCTGGACTGTTCACCTCAGAAGAAAAACTGATGTCTCAGAAGTGGTTGTTAGTACTATAGTTGTGACCTAAGACTCCATAGAAAAGTATACTTTCTAGACATGATGTCTGCTCTTGCTTATGCATAATTATGTTAAGCAAGAAGCCTATTGAGCTTCATAGCAATCAAGGCTGTAATTTACATAATATACAAATAATACCTTACACTCTTTTAATAAATTAGGACTAAGCTCTGTGAAACAAAGGTTTTTCTTGCAAGATAATTCTTGCTATGCATTTTTTTCCAGCATCTTTGAAGTTACACTTTACACATCTCTTGCAATCATCACTTCAGGGAAGCAACTACACAGGTATCTAGTGAGAACACACTTTTCTATCAGACTGCTTTTATTAACTTTCTGCTCCGGAAGAGAATGACAACTTAAACTGGAATTTGATCCATACAGAAAATGCTGTCCAATTTCTACACTTCTTCAAAGAAATTCCACATCCGCCACAAGCTTTCTTTTCATCTATACAGATAACTGAAGACTTAATCTGACACTTGGAAAACAATGCAGAATTTGTATTTGACTTTTGAAAGGGCAGACAGATTGACATCTGTCAGATCAACAGATGTGTGGTAACTAAATGAGCATAGTAATGCAGCTTAAATCACACCAGTAATATGTTTGTAAAACACCACTAGCATGAGAGACATACCTGAAGATTCGCTTCACCGGGTCTTTCATTGTCATCGGTTCTTACCAAATCAGAGTGACAATCTTCTTCACCTTCTGCCTAGTAGAGAGCAGTCAGACATGATTATAGAGCCTGAGTAAGTCTCTACAGCACTTTCAAAAAGCAAAACTGTCATTGACACACATTAAAAAAACCCTAAGAATACTCCCCTTTTCCCCATCCTACCCACCTACCACATAGATCATTAACTGATAATAAAAATTAATCTTAAAATTGCTGTCCACATTAACCCAATGAAGTTGAGTTTTGCATTTCAGCCACATCAATCTAACACAGATTAGTTATGTATCACTTGAAGGCCTACACACGTCAATACAGTGCCACAATACCCGAACAAAGGTCAGTGTCTAAATCAAAGCATAGAACTAAAGCTTCAGTATTGAACAGCAGCATGCTTAACATAAGAAATTCAAGTTTAATAACTGTCTTCTCATTGTAAAGATAACCAGTAGTTCTGATTTGCTTAATATTTACAAAAGCACAAAAGACCAGTGCTTTGAGTAAGAATAGTTTATGAGAATTACGGGTCAATATAGGAATCTCAAAAAATACATATGAAATTAAACAAGAAATGTGTTGTAAAAGAAAACAAAATGCTAGCATGAGAGCTTGAAAGCTGGTTTTATTTACAGTACTGCTGTGAGATAGGTTAAACAAATAAGACCTTACATAAGATCTTTCAGAAAACTTGACAGAGCTCTACAGAGGAATTACAGCTAATTTAAGAGCAAAATTCAAAAAGATGCAATAAATTCTCATTGGAAAATATACTCAGATTTGTGGAATCTATACTAAACCAAAGGACAACGAATTCCGAGCACCAATGACAGCCACTGCAATGACAACAGCAGCAAGATGCCAGTACTAAGACATTTGGTTAAAGTTCTTCTGCAGCTGAAGCACCCCCGGTTTTCTCCCTTTCTGCACTGTTTCACATCTGTGGTTCTGCAAGCACAAATGCAAAGTGAGGTTATAAAAAGGTAAACCTGGCATTAAGATTACCACAACCACTTACAGAACTTTTGGTTCCCACTCATTCCTATTGTAGATAGTGCTCAAAGACTTCAAGTGACATTCTGTCAGTGGGATTCTACCAAGCTCTCATAAAGAAATCTCTCTTTCCTGCACAAAGTGCAGAAATCAAAGAATTCTTTGCGTCAATCAAAGAATTCTGAAATCAAAGTATTCAGAAAATGCACAAAACTTTCCTAGCACCTAGAAGTTCATGCTCAAAGTACAAAATACTGAAAAATCTGGTGGGAATGCAATGTTTGTTCTGTCTTGGTGACAAGCACCTCCTCACAATTCATCTGTAGTACTTGTCTCTGATTCCCTAAACCACCACAAACTTATTGGCTTGTCATCTGTAAACATGTTTTTACTGATGCCCCAGTCAATTTACCTTTTACAATTGATAAGGTGGCCAGTGTTGCTTGGCTGAAGTAAACATATGTTGCACCTGTTTCTACATTCTGCTTTGAAAGCTGTCCATTTTTAATTTCTCAGTGGAGAAAACAGGGAAGCCTAAGCTCCAAAGCCTGAAGCAGCATTACCTCTGAGCAGGGAGTAAATAATTTAGGAATTTTATGGGGTTTGATTCCAGAATTTTGTCGCAGGCAAAATGAGTTACAGCAGTCCTACCACATTATTTCAGCATCCAGGGATTATATCTACCCTAGCCAAAAGAATATAGCCTAGGAACAAGCTATCACGGAAATGGGTGTCTGTAAGTGTGTTATTACGGCACTGGGCTGACACAAATAAAGTCTGCACAGAGATTAAGGCTTCTGGTTTCAGCTGAATTATGTCCGGTCAGCTCTCTGGGCAAAACAAGCCTGGTTTTATCTGCAAATTGCAGAAACTAGCAGTTTCTAAACCAAATCAACACATGATCTTGTACATAAGGGCACACCCATTAAAATCTTTAACTCATGAAGTCTGTAAATAACTAATTTAAGAGTATGAGTTAAAATTATTTAGAAGGTTATGAAGTTGACTGATGTTTACCTCATGTTCAAAACTTGTTGTTTCAGTAATCTGTTCAAGAGTCTTGATTTTCCTCCCTTTGTCTCTGTTCAACTGCCCTCCTTCTCCTTCATTTCTGAGGCATAGACAGTCATGGTTCTGGACCAACTGCTTCCAAAATGTCATTCAATGCTCTTTAAAACTTAAATGTCCTCTCAATCCAAACAAAAAATACACCATATTATGAAGACCTAGTCCACAGCCTGAAAGCTGTCAAAAAAAAAAATCATGAAGTTGATTACAACCAAAATTTTGACTTTCACCACTACCTCCTCTATAGTGAGTGCATGTGTGATCTGAAGCCTCTCATATCAAAGGTTTGTTTCCTGGCAGCGGTAGCAGTATAAGTGACCATCCCTCTAAATTTACCAGTAAGCAATTCATTAATATCACTACTGCACGGCTAAGTGGACTGGAAAACTGATCTCTGTTAACAACCTTTCTGCTCTGTATTTGATCTGCTAAACCCTATGGTTTTGCTAGAATCAGAGCAAATGTGTAAACACAGGTCTCACTGAAGCAAGGGTCTTCACCAGCAGGCAGTTCATGAGACCACACCTACAAAGCACGTTGTAATTTCTAAATATTGGCTCCTCACCCTAGCTCTGATGATACTTAAATTGTAGTTTCTAAAGTTCACAGAAATCTGCACTGTAACTGCTACTGAGTGCATCAATCTGGGCTGCTCATCTTTATGCCGCTGGCTTTCCCTTTGCTACAAGTCAGCTGTTATATGGCACATGGACTTTATCCTGATTGAAAGTGAGATATCCTTAGTGTGTACTGACCAGCTCAGACAATTTTACATGAGAAAAGTGGCGGTCAAACAGCCAAAAGATTGACATGTCAGAAGTAAACATCTGAATTAGACTGCGACCCGTAAATAGCTTGGTAGATTTGATTCTGATTTGTTTGCAAAGCTTTCAAAATCATTTGCCAAATGCAAACGATCATTTGCCAATTGCAAATGCTATTTGCACAGCTTAGGTTTAAGTTTTCATCAGAGCACAACAATCACTTACTAAACTGTCTGTAATGCCAAGTCCTTTAATAGTTCAGATCTTTTGTTTCAGCAAAATAAAGCCAAGATCAGAAAGAGTTCTAAGTTGACTGTCACCAGCTGAACAGGGCTACACGTGAGCTGTACAGAACTAAGGGAGAGGCAAGCATGGCATAGCTAAACAGTGATGAACAGCAAATGTTCTGCCGGGGGGGTTATATGAAAACAAGGAAATGGCTCCATTTTCCTGTCAATGTGGTAAAAGCAACACGGTGCTCAAAAAATACCTGTTTTAATCATGGTGGAAAGGCATTTTAAGACCTCCCGAATTATAGAAGTGGTTTAACTTTGAATGATCAAGTTTTCATCGTGGGTACTTGAGTCCCTGTTGAGGTGCAGTCAGGAAAGCAATACTGAACCCAACAGTATCTCACAAACTCGGTAAGTAGAGTGCCGGGCCCACTGAGCTGCTAAAATTATGAAGAGACTTTATGCCATCTGTTCTTTGGGGGGAAAAAAAGAGAAAGACAGGGCACGCTGGTCGGAAATGATACCGTGATTTGTCCGGGGATTTCTAAGGACAGCTAGGTCGGTCTGAACCAAGCAGCCCCACTCATGAGCCCAAAATCCTCTGAAGGCAGCTGTGCCTCCTTGCGGTGCAGTTACCCCGGGTGGGATCATGGCCAGGCGCGCGGCACACTGCCCGCAGGCATCTCCCTGTGCCAGGGCGGGCGGACAGGGCAGCGCTTCTCGGCTTGGCGGGCCGCTCCTCCCGCCCGCGGGCATACACCCCTTGTCGCTGTCAGCGATCCCCCAGCTTTCCGGCGGCGGGGCAGGGCCGACCTTCGCCCGCACCTGCCACGGCGGCCAAGCCCCACCGCCACAGCAGAGCCACAGCCCGCACACGCCCCGCCGCAGGCCGCACTGCCCGGCCGGGGCCCGCTCACCATGCTGTCAGCGCTCGGACGGCGCTGTCCCGTCCGGGGGTCTCTTCCCCCCTGCTCGGTCCGTATGTCGTCCCCGCGGGGGGAAATTAGCAGAGTTCTCGGTCGGAGAAGCGCACCACGCAGCGGGAGTAACTGCGAGCCCTGCGTACGGCAGCCATCTTCCCGGCGAGTGATGGGCAGGCAGGCCGGGAGCAGCAGAGACACACAACCAGACAAACCCGCAAGGTCAGAGCGCCGCCTGACGCGCGGGCCGCTCCGAGGCGCGGCCACCGGCCCCTCGGACTACCCGTCCCAGTGCGCACCGCAGTCACTGGCGCCTCTCTCGCCTGCAGCGGCGAGCCGCGGGGCCTCTCGGGAAACGTAGTCCTGCGGCAGCACCCCCTTGGGAAGTGGCGCGTCCCCAGGCCGACCGCGTCCGGCGCCTGGGCAGAGGCTGCTGGGAAGCGTAGTGCTTCGGAAGGCGAGCCCGGCCCGGCACTCCGCCGCCGCCACTCCGAGGTGGGACAAGCGGCGATGTCCGTGCTCTCTGCGCAGGTTTCTGCCCCGTCGGCATGGCCCCTCAGCCAGGTGTCAGCAGGAGCAGAGCTTGCTATGGGAGCCTCCATTTCCGCGGTCACTGCGGTCAGACCGGGGCCCCGTTGTAGAGCAGCTAAACACGGCAGCAGGGGGGCGGTCAGTGCTGTTCCTGTGTGGCAGCAGTGTTCCTGAGGTACAGTTGGGCTCACAGCCCCCTGTCCTCTCTCCATCGAGTTCTGTGCACAGTTACTACGTGCACAGTACAAATCGTCAGGTTCTCTGAAACAGGACTAAACCTGTTGTTTTCTAACCTGTATTACAATCCTGTTCTATAGGAAGACCACATGTATGAGTCTTTATGTAGGACCTGCAAACCCTCGTGTATTCACAACCCTGAATGTTGTCAGGAGCCAGAGGCATGTGTCTCCTCTGGCAACCCCTGGCTGGCTAGCTAGAGCAGGGGAGGGAAGCCACTGGGTGCACCCTTGTGTCAGTAGCTGAGCCGACAGCAGGGCAGCTGAGTTTTTGAGGTGAGGTCATCCTGAATACAACTAGTGATCCTTAATGCTCCTTCTCATTTGGTGTCAAGAGTCAAAGCTGCCAGGCTTTTCTCCTGCCTGGAATGTCGTCTTTTGGGAATCATCGAAACATATGGTTTGCATTGGACAGGACCTGAAAGATCATCTAGTTCCATCCCCCTTGCCATGGGCAGGGACACCTTCCACTAGGCCAGGTTGCTCAAAGCCCCATCCAACCTGGCACTGAACACCTGAAGGATGGAGCAGCCATAGCTTCTCTGGGCAACCTGTGCTACTGTCTCAACACTCTCACAATAAACTTCCTAATATCTAATCCAAATCTCCCCTCTTTCAGTTTAAAGCCATTCAACCTTGTCCTATCCCTACATGCCCATGTAAAAAGTCCCTCTCCTGATTTCTTGTAAGCCCCCTTAAGTACTGGAAAGCTTCTATATGGTCTCCCTGGAGCCTTCTCTAGGCTGAACAAGACCAACTCTACCAGCCTGTGGTCATACCAGAGGTGCTCCAGCCCTCTGACCATCTTCATGGCCTCCTCTGATCCATAGACGCTGAAGCCCTGTCTCTTACAACAGAAATCCTGGTGTACCACAGCTGTCACAGGGCTAGGTGCTAACACACCTTTATGCATGTGAGATGTAATAAGTGTGGCTTAAAGCAGAAATCTCTTTTGAGTAAATGTGCACTGCTCCTGTTGGCTTTGCTGAGAGTCATACGCGTCCATACGAGGCAATTTAACTCTCTTTATGTTTATTACTTTTTTCAGTCCAACAAATATAAATTTAATGCCTACCCTCTGTTGTGAAGGGGAGAGGCTGGAATCCAGAGCTTCTTGGAGTTCATTCATGTATTTTATTAACAAATGAATGTCATGGTAAAATTGCTGATGTAAAATCCTCCCCGCAGGGAGCAGCTGGATGTGCCACATTCCTTAATTACAATAGTAGCTTACCCAGACTTGCAAACTCCGTGAAGTACCTCTATGCTTTACTTTTAAAAACTAAACGAAGAACTGTAAAAAGAAGCTAAGACTTACGAATCATTACTACAGCCAGATCCGACGACCAATTGCTTGAGGCCAATTTTTTTCTTCCTCGTTTCCCTCTTTCTGCCCCTCTCCCAGTACGCCTTACCCTGACCCTGCCAGCGCCAGGGAGAGCTCCTACTGCTCAGGCCAGGGCTCCGCAGCAGCGGCCACCATGTCGATATTCTTGCCATGTGCTCACGATTCGGTATTTCGGCGTTCCTATTTTGTTACTTAAGCTCCGCTCGGGGATGTGCGAGAGGCCAGTCATCGGGGTATGTTTTTATTTTCTGATTACGTTAAAGCCCGGTTCAGCCGCAGTCTCCTCCCCGGCCGCGGTGGTGTGGTGCCGCTTTGCTGCCTTTCGCCTGTTCCCCCGCCAGCTGTCTGCTTTCGGGGCACCCCATAACCCGCCTCCGCGGATCAGGCCGCGCTATCGGGGCCCGCTGCCCACGCTCCTGCGAGGGGCCGGCAGACGTGGCTGTCGTGGAGCGTTATACCCCCGTGGGGAGCCCCGCCGCCGCTGCCTGGCGGGGAGGGCCGGGGAGGGCCGGGGCGGAGGGCGCGGCGGGCCGCACCATGGGCTCGGCGGCCGGCGGCGCCCGAAGTGAGGCCCGCGGCCGGCCTGGGCCGCAGCTGGGCCGTGAGGGCACAGGGTGCGCGGAAGGGCTTCTGTGGCGGCTGCTGGAGCCGCAGCACCACCATTAGGGGCCTCTCGCGCGGCTTCCGCGGGCCGGTGGTTGGCTGGACGAGGGGAGGCAGGCAGGAAGGAAGAAGGCCAGGCCGCCGTGAGTAGCGCTGGGCGCGGTTGGGGGACCCGCGCCCGGCTGGGGACGCGAGCGGCAAAGGGGAGAGCGGTGTGTTAGTAAGGGAGCGGGGTTATCGGGGCCGAGGCTGGAAATGATCCCCGCCTCAGCGCGGAGGCCGGGGCGGAGCCGCGTAGTGTCGGACAAGCGTAGGGGCTTGTGGTTCACCCCCCGCCATCTCACAAATGGCTGGGGTCCTCCTTGGATTTCAGGTCCTGCTGTAACCCCAAAACCTTCACTGACAAACGTCAACAGCGGCTGCTGGGACAACATCGATTGGAACCCGGGCGTAAACCACGCCTCTCTCCGTGCACTATGCTAGTAACACCTTCAGGTCGTTGCTAAAGCACAGAACAGGCTTTAAAAGGCACTTGCTGTTTGTTTACTGTTCGTGTTTCTCAGTTTTGGCAGAGTGAGACAGTTTCGCTTTCGGTTCTCAGCGCTGCAGCCCTCCAGAGAGGAGCAAATAAAGCGTACATCAGCGAAATAATCTGAGTTAGAATCAGAAAGTAGTCTTGATAAATTAGGCATGCTTTTAGAGTATCTTTGCTCGTCGAGACGTGTGGAACAGAATGTTGATAGGTGAGGTGGAGTCTGAACACGATGTTTAGAATACGTTTTCCATTAAGTATCAGCATACTCGTTTACTCCACGATGGTTCTGCAGTTTGTGTTTACACCCTCTAATGATGTGAATTTGCCTAAACTGTAGTTCCAGACTAGAACCTAGACTAGATTATTTGCATTTGTAGCTCTGCAAGCTGCTTGCCAAGACTCATGATTTTTTTTCAGTGAGACTCTACTTAGGTGGACCAGTCTGTGGGCTGAGGGTTAGTTTATTGCCATAGTTGAAGGTGATAGCAGAAGGTGGTAAGGACAGAACATCTTAAAGGGTAAAGTAAATATTTTAAAACAACCGTTAAGCTCAACAAGAAATAGCACTGATTTAATTATCTTCAGGCTTTGCTCAATGGATTTTCATACAAGTGGATTTGTGCTTTCATAGGAGCCATGTTAACTTCTGTGCATTCTGGAATGCGTATGTTTTTTGGCATGCATTCCTTGCTGAAATCCGTGTTTTCTGACTGTTGTTTCCTCTCTAGGTTCTTTGCTTCCCTTTTATGCCCCAAAATATTTCAGTTCATTTTGTCTGCTTTGGTCATGTTTGACAGCAGAGCTGGAATCGCAAAGACAATTTTTTACAAGTTTTGTAAAAATTGGTGGGTGTAGAAAGGAGGGAGGCTTAAGTTAGTATCCCTAGTAAGGAATAGGCAGTTATGTTCACCAGTTCATCACCACATCAGACAGACAGTCTATCCAGGGTAACCACTGGTGATTTACTAGCAATGTCATTTGTTAGCAGTGTTATGCATCTTTTGGTTTGCTGTGGTTATCAAACATGAGGCACAGATGCTCATCCACTTCACAGTCCCCTAGAAAGGAATATATTAATGGTAAGCCAGGGGCAGCTTAATGGTCTATGAATTGTGAACCGTTGCATTGGTTATGGTTATAATTTCAGAACTCTCTCATTAGGGGAGCATGTGCTCCACAAATTTCATCAGTTTCAATCTGAAGTCACTGTGTAAAATCATTTGTTTAGCTATAAGTAAATACTACATTTTCAGACTGGACCTTGTAAAGCTTTGTCTGAAATTTTCACCAGGGATCTGAATAAAGGCCTGGGAGCCAAGACGTTGAGTTGCCGTCAGGTCATTGACCAGCTGGAGTAACCAAAGCTTTTTAACCCAGAGGCAGTACCATGCCTAAGTGTATCTGTATGCTAAGCAGGTGCACGGCCTGAAAACCAGCCAGAAAGAAACCAGTGCTTCAGAGTGCTGTTCTGACGGTCAGGCTTGGTGTTCCTTGGCAGGTAGCACAAAATGTGAGATGAGGTCTCTGATTTAAGGTTCTTGGTTGTAGTTCTCTGTAGTCATGTGCGGAGAGAAATGGGCACTGCTGGAGGGCAATTCCTTTTGCCCGAGACACCATTCGGTGTCTAGGGTAGTGTCAGAGACATGCTGTTTCTTTTTCATACACAATATGTAAAATTGTCAAAAGGGGTTTTAACGTATATTTCCTAATTTTTGTTTGTTCTACATCAGTATTAGTGGGGTTAATAGGCTTAGAAGACTGAAAACAAAGGATCTTCACAGTGTATTGCATCCACTGGATTGTGGCTCTGCATTGATGTGAGTTCAGAGTTCAAGCAACATAATTCCATTACTTTTAAATTTATAAATTGGCTTTGTGAAATAAGGCAAGATGGAGAAAAGATTTACGGCTGCTACCAGAGCAAAAATAAATTGTGGAAATGCAGTTTAAATGCAGGTTACAGTAGGGAGAAGTCACCATCCACGAGCATTGCTGTCCTCTTAGAGTTGGAAAAAAGAGACTGCACTGACCAAAGCCTCACTGCAGGGGAATTCTGTTTTATTCCAAATGTTTAGTTTGGCATATTAAACATGTTTGGAACACTAATAATGTTTAGTTTGGAATACTGTCTTAGTTTACATAGAGTAGATCACATTTGTTCAAAACTAAAATGTAGGAAATACTAGCAAGTAGATTAAATGAGGGAATAAGAACTTTTTTGCTTTATTATCTAGCATTCTCTTGTTCGAACAGTGTTAGGACAGAAGGTCGGCTTGATAATGTGATGTAGCCGCTACTAGAGACTGATTCACACTTAAGGCTGCTGTAGTGAGTCACATGTGGTTTTATCTGACATTAATATTCTTCCTCTGAAGACTTTAAGGGAATACATGTGGCTGTATCTATAGCATAGAACCTTATGAAAAATCAGGAAATTGGTATAACTGATAGTAGTACAACCTGTGAGATGTTAACTTACCTGTCTGATAATTTGGATAGAACAGGTTCCTTCCTATCTTACGTAATACTTCATTTTTCTGATAGCAAACTATTTTCTCCAAGCTTTGAGAGTTTATCCTCTGCTTTTAGTAATAGTTTCTCTCATTAGGGCTGCCTGCAAGCTTGCTGTAAAGTACCTCTAACTATACTGTAAGAGTGGATTTGGGGAACATACCCAGTTACAGCCAGATACTGGCTGGCCCTTTCTGATGAGAGACCAAGTGTTTGTCTAGCTTATGAGGAATATTTCTTGGGGAATGGAGTCTGCAAACGGGCAATCTCGGAGGGGTACAGAAATCAAACGGATTATGTTCTGTGCTTTCAGACCAAAGGCTAAGTCTTGAAAACATGATTCCTGCAACTGTTCACACTGTCCTGAGTGCTCTGTATTTATGCTGCCACAGAAAGAACTGGTTACACTCGAAGGAGAAATACAAGAAACACTAAGGACTGAAATGTGCTTGCAGCTAAAGTATCCTCATCATGAATAGGTACACTACTATCAGACAGCTTGGTGATGGGACCTACGGCTCTGTTCTCCTAGGGAGAAGCATTGAATCTGGAGAGCTAATAGCTATTAAAAAGTAAGTAATTTTGTTTGTTACTTAATAGTGGGTGATCCAGGTTTTTCCATTCTGTGGTCCACATCACTTGCTAGTGCTGGTTTGAGCACTTCATATTCCATGCAACATTTGTTTTTGGAGTTGTATTTGGGTAGTGTGCAAATACCTAAGTTCCTTGCCTCCTGCCAAAGTCCCAGCAGAAGATAAAGAGGGTAAGATATAGGCTTATTGTAACAGTTCTCTGCTGCTATGTCAGACATGTACTAGTAGTCTGCAATACTGCTTTGGAATCTGGAGCCCCTTTCCTGCTACTTACGTGGGACATACATTTCACGGTAGAGTTTCCAGTGCAGGGTTAATGCTGCAGTGATAATTAACACAATGGATCTCATTGTCCATTGTGTGTATCTTTATATGCATAATAAGACGGATTGGTCTTTTCAGCTCAAGATTTTCTTAAAATTCCTTGAGAAGTTCACTTCAGTTTCTGTGCTGCTTCAGCAGTGACCTCAGTTTGTAAATGGCTTATTTATCATAGCTGTGGCAAGAAGCAGCTGTAAAACATTGCAGGCACCCTCCTGAAATACCGACCATGACCCAGGGACATGCTCATCGAAAGAGCTTTCAGTATAATGCTGTTTTGTATGAACAGTCAATAGCTGGCTTCAGCAACTTTCTAAACCTTCTGTGCTAACTTTCTAAACCTTCTGTGCTGAGGGTATTTTTCCTATATCAGATCTTGCCAGAGGCGTCTTTGATTTTCGTTTTGCAACATGGTAGAAACTCAAATGTTTCAGAACAAAACAGAAAATGGTACCCTCGTAGCATGCACATTAATGCCAATCCATTAGGAACAGAAATGGTGAATGGTGATAGCTGAATGCACAAGACAGTAACTGCAAAAAACTGTTAATTGTTATTATATTTTAGTTTATTCCAATTATTAAACTGTTCTTAACCCACAGATTTTACTGTCTGGGGTTAAACCACAACACTGAGCCATAATCGAAATGCATATCAACAAATAGGACTGTATGTTACACACAGATGCTGTGTTCACAGTTACATTCTGCCTTAGGAGAAAACACATAACAGAAACAAGGAATTGAAATTACCAAGAAATAAAATACAGAGAATAAAAGCAAGAAGAATACATAAAAATTAGGGACCCAGTGAAATGATTTAATTTGCTCTTCATAACTGCCATAATTCTTAGTCTTTGTACAGTTAGAATCTACTGCACCTCACTGTATGCTGGAAAGAAAAATAGCATGCCTTGATTTGTTAAAGGCTCTGAAATTTTTGTATCAAAATACATATATGAAAAAAGGCAATCCTGTGTAATAGTAATGCTTTTGAATTATGTTAGAGTGTATGTTGTCCAGAGATGTGAAGTTTTTTGACAAAGGAGAGTAATGACACTTACGTGTCCAAGGCCAGATGATGTTAACCATGTATTAATTGTGGGGTTTTTTTCCCTCTACTGTTGCAGAATGAAGAGAAAGTTTTATTCCTGGGAGGAATGCATGAACCTTCGAGAGGTTAAGGTACTTGTTTCATTCAATGATTAACTTTAAATTAGATTATTAGATGTCATGTTTTTGGGGTGACATCAAATCCTTTCCACTCCTTTTATCAAGAGCTCCCCCCCAGCATGAGCTGTGGCATATGGCAATACAGTTCTGTTTCCTGTTCATTTGAACAGGGTGTCTGTAGCTTTGCGAAAATTCTTATTACAATTGTTACCAAAAAATCATTTGGTTGTAGAGAGCTGCTTCCTCCTTACAGTGAGTGGTGTGTGAGTGAGCAGGCTTTCCTGTCACAAAACCTGGAGTTAATTGGTGTTTGATTTTCAGAGCTTGAGAACATGTGCCCTTTGCACAGCAATAACCTTTGTACATGCAGTTGTTTCTGGATAGTTGGTTCAGGGGAAGACATTTAGCATGAAATTCTGACACCAGCAAAGTTTAGGGGTTGTTCTAAAGACCTCCTTTAATTTCTAGTCCTTGCTATCACCGTTGCAAACATGCAGAAAACATAGGTGACTTTTCCTGCAGTACCACTGGTACTGTGCTGCTACAGCAAGAGCGAATGTAGAATACACTGAAAATCTAAACAGTAGGGAGAAGGAAGACAGACCCAGGTGTGCTGGCTTTTCCTGGGATAGAGTTAATTTTGTTCATAGCAGCTTGTACGGGCGTGTGTTTTGGATTTGTGATCAAAACAGTGTTGATAACATAGGGATGTTGTAGTTATTGCTGAGCAAATAACGTCAAGCTGCCTCTGTTTTTCATGCTTCCCAACCAGCGAGCACACTGGGGGTGGGCAAGAGGCTGGGAAGGGACACAGCCAGGATGGCTGACCTCAGCTGACCAAAGGGAAATCCCATACACTGTTAAACTCAGCAATAAAAGCTGGAGAAAAGGGTGAAGAAGGGAGGAACCTTTGTAATAATGGCATCACTGTTACACCTGATGGAGCGCTGCTTTCCTGGAGATAACTGAACACCTGCCTGCCAGTGGGAAGCAGTGAATGAATTCATTGTTTTGCTTTGCTTGTGTGCAGGGCTTTTGCTTGACCTGTTAAACTGTGCTCATCTCCACCCACTAATTTTCTCACTTTCTGCCCTTCTGATTCTCCTATCCCATGGCAGGGGATGAGTGAGCCCAGCTGCTCACCAGGGTTAATCCACAATACCAAGGAAGAATTTCCAGGGCTGTACTTAGTGTGGACTGTAACCTGACTGTTGCCAGTGCAAGTACAAGAAGAGTGTGAATTCTGCCAGTAGGAAGCTACTTAAAGAGAAAACGCAATTGTTTTGGTGCCTACTATGATGCCATATTGCTGGTTTTTGAATGACCAGCATGCTAAATTGATACATATACTTTATATGTATCTACTAATACTTGGAGATTTGATCTTTCTTCTCAGAGCTGTCTGATTATTTAAAATATTGTAGAGTTTTTGTCATCAAGTTCTCTGCATCAGTGGAAAATGTTTTTTCTTTTTCATTAGAGTAAGACCCTTCTAAATTCCTGTTTATATTTTCTTTTTCTAGTCTCTGAAGAAATTAAACCATGCCAATGTAGTAAAGCTGAAAGAAGTTATCAGGGAAAATGATCATCTGTATTTTGTGTTTGAATACATGAAGGAAAATCTTTATCAGTTAATGAAAGAAAGGTATGTAACATCATCACCTATTCCTGATAAAAATGAGGTATTTGCAGAATGTGCTTTTAACACCTCTGCTACTTTTCAGAGGGCTTTGGATCATTTGTCTAGGCTTAGATCACTATGGCTTAAAGCTGTGTGCTGCAGTAGGAGCTGTGGCTGTCACCTTTGGGTGTATCACAAACAGTTTAGTGACAGTTTCCAGTGTCTTTTCCCAGATTAGCCTGGCAGATAAGTAGTGTCAGAAGTGTCTAGAGTAGACACTGTTTTGAGAGTTGGAACTCTGGACTTCTAACAGCCCTCCTGAGGAGGAGGCACTGAACCTAGAACTTCTGATAGGTAAGTGCTCCAACCATTAATACTTCTTCTATTAGATAATGGTATCACCATCTCTTCTGTTATGGCTTCCTTGAATAAATGAATAAATAAAAAGTGGTTGAAACAGCAGTCATGAGTGATGAAATTCTGGATTGCTTTGAGATCCAGAAGTTTTTTCCTTGCAGTTTGAACTGATACGTCCAAAGACTGCCTGTTTTATTTGTCAGCATTGTCAGTAAAATCTATCCTTTTGATATTTGCTGGAGCATTAATAAAGTCTTAATTTTAGCCTTCAAGCCATGATAGCATCCTCCAGACGATATTTAGGGATGAAATAGCTCCATGCTTTGAATTGTTCTCTGAAGACACTGTTTTCTCTCTCTGGACCATAGAAGCAGCTTGGGAGATGACAGTAGTTTTACTTGATTTAACAAAGTAAAGTTATTGTTAAAACATATCTCTAAATACTACATAAAATATGTTTCTAAGCATAAAAATACTTACTTACACAGGTATAGAATAACTAAATTTGGCACACGTATATGGATGTTGATTTTTAATTATATGAAATGATTCAAGTGCATAACATGCAAACCAATTATTGTTAAATTTCTTTAGAAATGCTTGATATATCCTACATCCTTAGGAAAACAAAAAGGGCAGATGTCTGTAAAAGCATGTTACACGTCATGCTCTCTATGGTTTAGCTAGGCCTTGGGCTGGTTAGACAGTGTATAACTCAAACCTTTAAGAATGTAATTTATTTGCTTAAGTCTTAGTTAAAATTGCCCGTCTTGCTGGAAGGGACTTTAGAGGAAATATGACTCTCTTTCTGCTTTAAGTAAGGAAATAAGCAAGCAAATATGAATGGCTGACTCCAATAGATGATCTCACTTCTGAAATATGTGATGGTCAGAGTTTTTTGAGAGGACTCAAGCTCAGAAAATTGAATACAGCCCAGGTCATCTTCTTCATTCACTCACGGGCTTTTTTTGAATAAAACTCGCACTGATTTCCACCCTGAGCCATCTCTACTGTGTTTTGGCCTGTGCAGAGATAGCTGGTGTAGAGATGTTTGATCAGAGTCCTCTCTTGGTAAGAGTGACTATCATTAAACTGCATGCCGTGGCTGATCTCGCCTGAATATTGTGAGAAGAGCTTCCTGTTTTCAATGGTAGAAGATGAGACTTTTTTTCAGATAACAGAAGATAAAGAATTAGCGCATCAGCTGTTAGATAATAACAAGGGAAGGTCAAAAGTATGGCTTGTGTATGCTCCAGAAGAGAGGCTAGAAGAAACTACATGGAAGGGACTAAATTAACGTGAACACTTGCTGTCTGGGGGAGCATACCTCATGACCTGTACTTGTCATGAAGCAAAATACAAGCACCAATACAGGCTTTGTAGAGAATGGATTGAGAGCAGCCCTGAATAAAAAGATTTGAAGGTGTTGGTTGACAAGAAGCTCAACACAAGCGAGCGACGTGCGCTTACAGCCCAGAAAGCCAACCATATGCTGGGTTGCTTCAACAGGAGCATGACCGGCAGGTTGAGTGAGGTGATTCTACCCCTCTACTTCACTCTTGTGAGACCTCACCTGGAGTACTGAGTTCAGCTCTGGGGCCCCCAACACAAGATGTGCATGGGCCTGTTGGAGTGAGTCCAGAGGAGGCCACAAAGATGCTCAGAAGGCTGGAGCGCTTCTGCTGTGGAGACAGGCTGAGAGAGATGGGCTTGTTCAGGCTGGAGAAGAAAAGGTTCAGGAGGTACCATATAGCAGCCTTCGAGTACCTAAAAGGAGCCCACAAGAAATCAGGAGAGAGACTTTTTACAAGGACATGTAGAGATAGGACAAGGGGGAATAGCTTTAAACTGACAGAGGGGAGATTTAGATTAGCTGTTAGGAAGAAATTCCTTACTGTGAGTGTGGTGAGGCACTGGAACAGGTTGCCCAGAGATGTGGCTGCTCTATCCCTGGCAGTGTTCAAGTGCAGGCTGGATGGAGATTTGAGCAATCTGATCTAGTAGAAGGTGTCCCTGTCCATGGAGGGGGGATGGAACTAGGTGATCTTTAAGGTCCCTTACAACCCAAACCATCTTTTTCTATGATTCTGTGTTTTGTTCAGTTTGGCCAATTTTCCTTTTTTCTTTTTTTGATTTCCTCCCCTTTTTTAATTCACTGCATAGACTTGACATGGTGTCACATAGTTTTAATATAATGTAATATGGTAGTTCAGCAAACACTGTGTAAAATGAATGCAGAGAGTGTTTAAAATACATTTATCAGTTTTACTCTAATTGTTCCCTTTTATCTTTAGTTCATTAGGTAGCATAATCTCAATAATAATAATTAATACCTTTTTCTTTTCTCTTATTCTACAGAAACAAACTGTTTCCTGAGTCTACAGTGAGGAATATTATGTATCAGATCCTGCAAGGACTTGCATTTATCCATAAGCATGGTAGGTTATGTTTTAGCTGTAAAAATTCTGAATTAGAGCAAGATAGTGTCTGTGTGAGTTTTTAAATGTGTACACTAACAATTACATTACTAGCTGTGGCAGGGGGGTTGGAGCTAGGTGATCTTAAGGGCCTTTCCAACCCTAAGTATTCTATGATTTTATGAAGAGGGTGATCAAATGAATGATACTTCATGACAGATTCAGATTACTGACAATATCCATATTTTATAGTTGCCTGATATTTTAGTTAGGAGTTTTGCTCAGTTCCTTTTCTGTAGGTGTCTACTTTCTCAAACTGACAACTCTGCATTTTCTAAAACTCCAGTGTTAATGGGCACATTTCCTGAAAGATTTAGAGGACCCCTGAGATTGAGTACAAACTAAAAATTACTCTTAAGATACACAGAGATACCTGAATAAAACACACATTTTCCATAAGGTACACTTGAAGTAATAAAGCCTGAGTGACAAAGAGCTTTCATTGCATGGCCTTCCAGCTCATTTGTACAATAATGCTAAAAGCTGAAGCGGCTATATACCAGCCAATAGTAACAAGACCCACTTAACTAATTAAAAAGAATACTGATTTTAATTATAACTTCCTCATCATGTTTTCCTGCCCTCTGCAATTCTGCCTGCTAAATATAGTGTACACTGCTCATCAGCTCATGGGGTTATTGGAAGACAGCTAAAATCAGTGGTCAAAGGCCTGGAAGTGAAAGGCTTGTAGGACCAGCATTTCAGTTCACTTGAGGAAGATACTTTAACTGTACTTTGGAAAACATTTTCAAGCTAATGGTTTTATTCTCTGTTCTAATGGGCTTGGTCTGCGGATTCTTCTGAAACCCGACTAGAAATTCCAGTCTGTTCCAGGGACATGCAAAATATTTTAAGACAGAGAAGTCATACAATGTATTTGTAAAAATCTAAGTCACATTTTCTAATAGATTTTCAAATGGATCACAGTCTTTCAGAATATCTTTTACTGCCATTTGACTTCATGCAGATTTAAAGAATGAACAGCTTTGTGTCAAAACAAACTGTCTTGTTCACTGACCTTCTACACAGTAGACTGTCATTTCCGCAAATATATTGTGCATCTGTAGTTACAAGGATCTGGAAATTCATGACAAGCCTGACAGGATGCTCTTGGTGGTCTTCTGACTCACAGTGTAAGACTGAGTGTCCCAAGATTCTCTCTGCAACAGTTTTGGAAAAAGTCATGTGAACATTTTTCCCTCTCTCTATTTCTCTATTCTGCTTGTGTATGGCATAAAAGTGTTTGTTGAGTAAACTTTTTATGTTCTTTATCCAGACTAACAAACTTCAAACATCTTTTCATATTTGAATGCACAATTGATTGCTCTTTTTGCAAGTTTGCTGTTAAATAGATTGCCTCAGAAGCATCCTGCCAGTGCATTTCATGTCTGCACAGAAAAATACACAAGTGACTGTACTAAATGCTAAAAATAACCTTGACTGCTCTGTCTGGTACTTTCCATAAAGAGGCAGCAGCTCAAGTAGGCACCAGAGTATGTACTTAATATCAGTAAGAAGAACATAATCTGTTGGTTGTTTGGCACTGCATCTTCAATGCTGTCATGCATTAATCTAGCAAACAAAAGTTAATATAGTTATACTGGAAAATATGGATACATCCTATGTGAAGGTTTATTCTCTTCTGTGTGGGAGCATATTCAAGGCTGTTGAAAAAACTCAGAATGTACTAAGCATGTTGGAAGGTCTCTGAAAAGGGGGTCATATACAGCTGGGGTGGCATTGCTGTGGACATCAATATTTCATTTGAATTTTAGGGTTCTTTCACAGAGACTTGAAGCCTGAAAACCTCCTTTGCATGGGACCAGAACTTGTGAAAATAGCAGACTTTGGCTTAGCCCGAGAAATCCGATCCAGACCTCCTTACACCGATTATGTATCCACAAGATGGTAAGTGCTAGTATTCGCCCACACAGTGTGGAACTTATAATTGAGCATTTAAAGAAGTAAAGTATGAAGTTTCTGCTGGATTTAACACCACTTTTAATGCCTCCTCTTTATGAAACTTTTATTTAAGCTTGGCATTATTTAAAATGCTGCAGTTAGCAGGAGATAGTTTACAGATGGGAGCAGCACAGGAATGAAGAGAGAGCCTGATAGGTAGGTGGGACATGCTGGTATTGCTGTATGTCAAGAAGGCATGAGAGAGCTTACAAGACCCTATGTAGGTTTTAATTCTTCATTCTAAGGGAAAAAATGAAGTCTTACGTATGGGATAGGAGGGGATAGGAACATTATAAGGGATGTTTGCTCTTAACATCGAAGAATGAAGAGCTGAATGGTTTTGTGTATCATGTATCTGAATTGTGTTGATTGTTCAGATTTGTTTTTCTTCTCTTACAGGTACAGGGCTCCTGAAGTCCTTCTCAGATCCACCAGCTATAGTTCTCCAATAGATATTTGGGCTGTTGGTTGTATAATGGCAGAAGTTTACACACTGAGGCCTCTCTTCCCAGGTGCCAGTGAAATTGATACTATATTCAAAATTTGTCAAGTGTTGGGAACACCAAAGAAGGTAACTAAAGTGGCATTCCACACTGCAATAGTAGTAGAGGTGTTCTGCAGTATAGAATGGCATAATAGCAGTAAGCATAAAAATAATCTATTTTCGCTCTTAACTGCCATTGTATGGTATTGATCTCAGACATAGTAAAGTAAATTGAAGCTTACTTTCTGTGAAGTAAGAATTATGCAAGTGTGCTATAAAACCTGACATTTAGAGAAGTAGGCCCCTGAAGAGAGTCCTTAGCCTGTGTTTTCATTAGGTGGAAATTTAATTTTTTCTTGCATACTGTTGCATATAAACCTATGGTTTAAGAGGCTAGATATTGGAATCATGGCAAGACTACTATCTTCTGATTCCATTTGTGCCTTTGACTTTGTCAGATGTAAAACAAGGCTTCTCACCAGAGGTTTGAGGTGAAAATTTCTAGTGGAATCTTTAATACAGTTTGGAACAAGCTAGACACAATCTATTACTGATAAGAGAATATATGCTAGTGTACTTAGCACTATGGTATTTTACAGTGGAACTTTTTTTGTGATTGGAAATCTCATTCTTCCAGAATGACTGGCTTGAAGGTTACCAACTCTCAGCTTCCATGAATTTTCGCTGGCCTCAGTGTGTACCTAACAACCTGAAAACCCTCATACCTAATGCTAGCAGTGAAGCAGTGCAGCTCATGAGAGACATGCTGCAGTGGGACCCCAAAAAGCGGCCAACAGCTAGTCAGGTTTGGTTTTGGTTTATTTTTCTCACATCTGCATATGATGCTTCCTTTCACCTCAAGGCACCTTTTATAGGCCTTCATTTCACAGTTGCTCAGAGGTTCTTAGAAGAGAGAAGAGCAAAAGCCAAAAACAATTTGCAGGACAAAGGGGAGTAATTAAAGGAGAGTAATCAGTCTTTTGCGTGCAACATAAACTGCCTGGGGTGTGTGCTCAGTGGTGAGATGTGTTACTGCAGTGTGTATAAGTACACCTGAATTAAGTATAATCTAGTCACTGTAAGTAGCAGCAGAGTAAAGGTGGGATGTATGGCAGAAGGAAGATTTTTCATTGCTGCTGATGTGGGCCATAGACTCACTGAATGGTTGAGGTTGGAAGGCGCCTCTGGAGTTTGTCTGGTCCAACACCCCTGCCCTAGGCAACGCACCAGTGCTGTGTCACCCTCACAGTGAAAAAGTTTCTCCTGACTTTCATAGGGAACTTCCTGTGTTTCAGTTGGTGCCCATTGCCTCTGACCTGTCAGTAGGCACCACTGAAAAGAGCCTCTCTCCATTTCCTTTGCAGCTGTCTTGCTGTTTCCTCACATGTGAGATACTCCAGCCCCTTATTCAACTTCGTGGCCCTTTGATGGACTTTCTCCGTTATGTCCATCATTCTCCTCTGCTGGGAAGCCCAAAACTGGACACAGCTGTCCAGGTGTGGTCTCACCAGTGCTGAGCAGGGGAGAAAGATCATTGCCGTTGACCTGCTGGCAACACTCATGCTCATGCAGCCCAGGATACTGTTAGCCTTCTTGGCATCAAAGGTATATTGGTAGCTCATGTACAACTTGGTGTCTACCAGGTCCTTTTCTGGAAAGCTGCTTTCCAGGTGGTTGACCCTAGCATGTACTAGTGCATGGAGTCATTCCTTCCCAGGTGCAGAGTTTAGTATTTGCCCTTGTTGGACTTGATGAGGTTCCTGTCAGCTCATTTCTCCAGCCTGTCATGGTTTCTCTGGATGGCAGCACAACCGTGCAGTATATCAACACTCCTTCCAGTTTTGTCTCATCAGCAAACTTGCTGAGAGTGCACTCTGCAGCACCATCAACATCATTAATGGACATGTTGAACAGTATGTGCCCCCGTATTGACCTCTGGGGTGCACTGATACCTACTGGCTCCCAGCCAGGCTTTGTTCCGTGGATCACCACCCTCTGGGCCTGGCCATTCAGCCAGCTTTCAGTTCACCTCTTTGCAGGTTCATCCAGCCCAGTGTTGCCTGGATAAAGCTAGCTTATGCAAGGTAGCTTGCAGGGTGGTCTCAGCTCAACTTCACTGACATCCTGCACATAAGCATAGCCCAGCTGGTCAGTATTGCACATAGTCCAGTTGATGTTATTGACAGTAGCCACTGATTTCACATGTCAGTACTGTAGTGTGGTAGTGCCCAACTAACGAAATAAGCAGTTGAGAAACAGTTGTGATTCTGGGTTCAAATCGGACTTGACTTCAGTAGGACCATAGCCAAACATTTGTGATTATATCAGACCTTCAGTACAAATTGTAATAAAAAAACCTTTCAAGCTAATTAAAACAGTTAAGAAGTAAAATAGATTAAGAACTCTCAAAGGTATTAAAAATAAAAAATTATTGACTGTAACTTGGTATTAAAAGCCATTAACAAATATTTTACAGTAAGTTACAAATGTGGTGAGGAATCTGAGAATCTATTTGAATGAGAGATCATTGGGAAGGGAAGATGAATATACCTTAAAGCAGCAAGATGAACAGAGATGAATTGTCTTCACTGACAATTCCTTAATTACTTGTAAGACAGGATAAAGCTACTTTTACCAACCCATATTCCAAGAAAAAGAAAAGGGTAATTTTCAGAAGTGTTGTATTTCTTTCATGTGATTCAGTCTTGAAACTGGAGAATAGAAGAGATGGGATGTCTCTGGAGTCATTCAGGTCCTGATGGGTGAATCTGTGATGACAGGTGCACATGTGTTTCCACAAGCACATGCACACACGCAAGCAAAAGAGCACATAATGAAGCATGCCTCTAGATGCTGTATACCTGGTTAAGTATTTTACTTCTACAGAACCTTTTCCTTTTGTGCAAGTCCATGGAGGATCACTTGTTATCTGATAATAACAAGATAAGTTGTTACCTGTTAAAACTTTTCTACTATTACAGCATTATTCTGAAGTGGGTTGTGCTTACTAGAATCTAGTGTTGAGAGATGAGTCTTTTGCTGTTTCCTACCCCAGAAAACCAGATTACATTTGTACCATCACGTAGAGCTAGGATAAGTTAAAAACTTTGGTTTCCTGAGTTGCATGCTAACATGTTCATTATGTTTTAGGCACTTCGATATCCATACTTCCAGGTTGGGCATGCCCTGGGCATTCAGGCACTGGGGAAACAAAAGGAACTGCATAATAAATCATCTCTGCATATTAAGCCTGTCCCTCCAGCACAGCCCCCTCCAAAACTTCATGCCCGCATTTCATCAAGGCCCTTTCAACAAAACCAGTCTTCCCAGCACTTGGTGTACCCACATAAAAAAGACAACACTGGAGCTGAGCACAGTAACTACTTAAAGGAGAACAAGTCTAACCAGGTTCTTCTGCCAGCCATTGCGCCACCTCAGCAGGTAAAGGTCTATCTAGCATAAGATACACTTCTTATACCGCCGATTTTTCTTTAATCGTGTTTCTTTTTCTTGTTCTCTTTCAAGGTTGTTAATACTTTACTAAAAGGACAGGAAATGGGAATAAGGAAGAGTTAAAACTTTCTGCTAGAAACTAAAAGTTGCTATGTCGCAATCTAAATCTAGTTCCTATAGATCAAGCAAATTTTTCATTTCAAAGCCATTTTATGCTTCCCTTTGTTGTAAAAGCACTGCTTAAAGGATGACACTGTGATTTCATATGAATAAAGTCTAGTGGCTAGAATATTAATAGGATTGATGCCACAGAGAAACATATTAAGCTAAATAAAATGTATTGAAATGAGTGAGATTACTGCCTTTATCCATTTAAGACATCTTAATTTGTGTCACTGGGAATAATAATCCATTTGGGCTTCTATACTTGCCATGAAAAAGAACAGATTCTTCTTCCAGCATAAGGAACTACCCTTTATGTTGATTATGCAAGGAGACTGGATTTGTAAGATGGATGAAAAGAGCAGACAATGCAAATGCTGCCACTAAGAGATCAGTATTAGCTAAGGTCTGTACTGACCATGTACAGAGTTGCACAAGGTTAAAATGTACTGATGAGCTTAAATGGCTGAAGACACACAAATTTGTACCTATGCTGTCCTGCAAGAAAAAGACATCTTATAAATGTCTAGGAACAGGCTTCTGGAAACATGAATGCGCATGCAGTTTAGTGCTCGTAAGATGAGTCAAAAAATAAAAACTGAGTGTGAGCTAATTGTTTGGGAGGTGTATAGTGAAATATAAGTAGAATTGGAATTAAGACCTAAGAAATTTATCCTTCTGTCAGTGCAAAATACTTCATTGCAGGATGAAATGCAGGAGATATGAAATAGTGTCTACAGGCTACAGATTGTTTTCTTTGCATGTTTAATCCTGGGATTCTGTTGTTACAGCTCTATTGCCACTATTACTCTTTGAGACAGACAAAAAAATCCTCTTTGTTCCTGTCACCTGGTTTATGCTGTAAGTGTGTGGATTTGTTTCTTTTCAATCTTTATAACAGAAAACATGTGCTGGAACTGAGAATATAAATGGTGAACTTAAACCAAAACCTAGGCGGCGATGGGGACATCTTGCCACAACAGTGAAGAATTCTGAAGACTGGGATGACTTGGAAGACCTTGATTTCAGTTCTTCTGTCACAAGAATCGACGTGAAAAACAAGAAGAGGCAGAGTGATGATACTCTTTGTAGGCAAGTTGAATTTTTTTATGTCTCTGTGCTACTTGGTCTTACTTCTTTAGGCTTTACCTCTTTTTTTAATAATGTTGCTTTCTGTGGATCCAGAAACATATCCAAGCAGGTAAAAGACATGCAGCTTGTGTCTCTCCAGCTTTGCCTTGGCCACTTGTTGGATACTGACCTTTGAATTGCAGCACATTTTTGATGGACAGTGCAGTTTTCTATACAATTTCTTGTTCATTTTTCCTCACTGAAAATGATGCTTAGCTTAAATCTTCCCAAGTTATTCTCTGAATGCATGCTTTCTATTTCACATATGAACCATCCTAACATATTCCACACATGTAAACTTGGGTGACTCTAAGCTGCAGTTTGCATGGATCATACACAGTAGAGAGAAACTTCCTGAATAATGTATAAAAAAATTAAAAGCAATATATAAGAGAACCAGAAGCACAAATAAGGTTTTCAGGGGCACGCATATGGCTTCAGGCTGAAAATATTTGCTGTTGTCTGTATGTTTATGCTGTAGCAAGCACAGTATGCGAAAGTGATTAATGGAGATGGGATGGAGATGAGAAGGCCAACATATGGCCTTCTGTGGATGAACATAAGCTGTAAGGATTGGACTAAGTGTAACAAATTTTGGTTTATAGATTTGAAAGCATTTTGGACTTAAAGCCTTCAGATGCTGTAGGCTCTGGCAGCAGTGCACCTTCCCACGTGACCTTTTCACGGCAGGACACTCCCACGTTGCGAGTTTCTGCAGCAAAGCAACACTACTTGAGACATTCTAGGTATCTACCTGGTTAGTAAAAGACACTTATTTCCTTTTCTTCCTCTAATTCCAACAGCAGTATGAAGCAGTCATTGGTACATCAGGCTTTATCTTTTGACATGTGGAGGTGGGCTACTGCTTAGAAAACATGAGAACAGGACCTTTGCTGATGTTCATGGCCATGATACAAACTACAAGCCTGGTTATGCTTTACCATAAATGGTGAGCACATCCTTGCATGTTAGGTATCCTGCTTAAGTATGGGATGTATAGTAAATACAAATAGTATGTGACATATGAACTCTACTGCAAACTGTTTGCACAATCTTTGGTTGCAGTAGGTAACACCACAGGAGTACAGTATTATGAGAAATGCAGTCTACCATTATTTGCACTCGGGTTATCTTGTCACTGTTAGGCTAAACACTGTAAAGTGTTGTGTTTGATACAAAGCATAGATTTCATTTATGTAGCAAAATTTGCCTTATGTGACTGGAAAATATGTGTGGCCTTGATGTAAGGATCCTGTCCCTTGACATAAAACAGCCATTGATGCTAGTGGAGCTACTTAACTGTTAGCAGGCCATGGCTGGTCATAGCATTCCAAATGAGAGGATGGGAAGTAACCCAAAGGCATGTTAAGAGTAAAAAGATTTTGGCTGAGTTCACTGAACTGGACCAGTGCTGTAAGATTGTGCACCAGATGGAATGAATGTGAGCCTGTGTAACAACAGAGATTTCAGCTTGGTATTTTTTGCTTTTTTGCAATAGGAATAAGCACAAGGAATAGCATAGTCTCCGCTTCGAACAAAGAGTCTGTTCCACCTAATCCCTGGCCCAGTTCTGGTTTGCCTGGGAAAGCTGCTGGTCTGGGAGGAAGTATTAACAGGATGAATTCAGGTAAGAAGCTGTGCTTAATTAACACTCTGAGAGAAGATGTCTGTAATTCCAGACAGCTGTATTTTGGGGTCACCCATTTCTAATACATTGACAGCTCCAACGGTATTTGCTACTGTGTCTGTTCTTCCTGTCAAAACCAGTCATGACCACTGTTCTCCACTGGACTTGGAGACTACCTTAAACTGAAACATGATTAATTTTTTCTAATGCATTGCCGGAAGTCTGGTTTGAAGTACCTCATGCATAGAAGGTTGGACAGCTTAGGTCTGTTCAATCTGAAATACTTAATCTTGCCTTCAGTTTCCACTGACAGGTTTTGTAAGTCATATTTTTCAGGTTTCCAAATTATTTTAGCCCATCTGGTGCTTAAATGACTGTCATAGAGGATGAAGCTGATCTAAATTGAACTAGCTGTACACACCACTCTTGCTATATGAATCAAGCAAAATCTATCATCATGTCTTGTAATTGATGCTGTTTTAAATAGTGAAATAATTGTGTGAAACTCTGATTTTTCTTCTTCGGGTTTTTGGGGCATTTGGTATTTCAGGTATTTTGTCCCTATTGTTTGATTTGAAGTCATTAATTTGTAGATTTTGCCAGATATATTTAAACATGTTGATGTTCCTAGGTTGTATCTATGCATTTGCTCTCTAAATCTTTCTTGGCTTCGGGTTTTCATGTGATGTTACAATTCTGCAGTACAGTTCTTGTTTTGCATATGTTGTTATGAAAACGTTTGATTGAGAGAATTTGTGTTGAATCTTGGTCCAAAGAAACATTTTGGGCCTTCAGAAACTCTGGTTTAAAAAATAAAAAACGTTACATTTTGGATGTAATTTAATCAGGAAATTGTTCTTTAAAGGTACAAGATGGAAGGATGTTGTAAATGGCTAAACTACATGAGAGCCTTTATATACGTAGCAAATGTCTCCTTCTTGGCTCTTCTATAAGTTTTTGCTTCTTTGGTAGCTGCATAGGATATCATTAGATTTTCCCCTTTTTTACTTAATACCATCATTTCCCACAATATGCTTTGCCAGTGCTCTACTGCTCTAGTGCATTATAGGCATATGTGCAATGGTTCTGTTCTGTGCATGCTAACTTTGTTCAGTGTCCATCTTAGTTAAGTCTCTGGGCTGCTTTATTTGTAACTATTTTTGTCCCATTTTCTATGGCTTATCCTACAGGTCAGTCACATCTGTTCATTCTCATCTTAGGGACAAGTTTTATAGCTGGCTTTACAAATCTGGAACACAAATATGATCCGATTTATTAAGTTGCGCTTACTGAAGCCTTGTGTAGCACCACAGCCCCAAAATAACTGTATAAAAATCAAGAGTGAGTATATTCATAGGACCCAGTTGCTGAAAATTAAACAAAATCATTCCAACTGAAATGCTAAGTTTTGACAGCTGTAAGGAATTTTGAAGAAAGCTGAGTTGTCAGGGAGAAGCAGAAATTGCCTTTGTACAAGTACAGTTTGTGCCTATTTTCCACTCATCTTCAATGCAGTCTGATGTTGACAGTCTCCTGAATATGTAGGTCCTGTGGATTCCTGGCATCTTCAAGGAAGTTCTTGTTTTCATCAGTCCATGACCAGTGCACACCTTTGTCATCTGTTGGTAGTATGGGAGATCCATTGTGTAGGGCTCAAGTGTTCCTTATCATTTCTTTCAGGGTCCATAGGATCAAGTGGTTATATCCCTGCATTTCTGAAGAAAGAAATAGGCTCTGCTGGGCAGAGGGTTCAGTTAGCACCAGCTGTGGAACAACCTTCTAGTAAGTATAGTAACAAGGTTGTCTCGGTCTCTTGCTCATTACTCTGGAAATGCTATATGTACTGTATGATGTATGTGTGCAGTGCTGAACTACATATCTTTGCTTTAGTGCATTTGTAAATATTCGATTGAGTGGAACTTCAGTTTGTAACTTTGCAGAATTTCATATGGAGAAGGATTTGGTTTGTATTTACTTTGTGGTTTTATCCACAGCATATCCACAGCATGTAGTGGAAGCTGGAGGTTGGTGTGAGGGCTGGTACAGAATTCACACATGTGAAATCAGTAAGTGCTCCTTGTCTGATGGGACTTTAGGGATTGGATCCACTACCGTTTCACATCAGCAAACTGTATTTTAAAAGAAGGTTTCTTTCTAGAGTCATAGAATCATAGAATGGTTGGGGTTGGAAAGGACCTTACGACCATCTAGTTCCAACCCCCCTGCCATGATCAGGGATACCTCACACTAGACCATGTTGCCCAAGGCTCTGTCTAACCTGAAATAAGGACCTGGACCTGCATCCAGTTGCTATTCAGTGTGGACAGCTACTAACTGAACCTTTATCTCATGGAATTTTTTCTTCTCCCTTAGATTACACTTCCGTGAAGTCAGTAAAACCCCATCTTGGACAGCCATCGTTCAGTTCACCTACCAAAAGCACACCAAGGTTAATGCCTTTCCCACCACCAGCTCAGCCGATCCATGGGCGCATTGACTGGTCTGCAAAGTACGGTGCTCATCGGTGACGTGTGGAAATACTGTCAAAACCAGTGCATTTCCCATGAAATGGTGGCTATCACAAGACAATTTGATATTGTTTTATGTACCTCTAAATCTAAAAGAAAGAGATCCTCTATGAACAAGACGTTTTGAAGGGTTTGGGTTTTTTTACTTTTATTTGTATTCACTTGAATGCAAACTTGTACCTTTTTGTATAAAATTGTTTTGTTATATAATTGGGTCCAGTTATTTTCATAAATCTGATACATTTTGTATATATGGCTTAGGGGTTTTGACATTTTTTTATGATAATTTTTTATAAAAACCTTTTTTAAAATTTCACTTTTCCTTTATTAGAGTCAACTTTTTTTATAAAAGTGGATTAAAAAAGCAAAATGGTGCAATATTGCAGTGGAAGAGAAGTACTGAGGAAGGGGCATTAATTAGACATTTCCTGTAGTTTATGTGCTAAATGAGGCTGTATAATTTCACTGATGCCACATCTTCTTGTCCTCTGCTCATCTGGTTCGTGCTGACATCAAAGGAATGAGTAACTAACAGTCTAAACTCCTTTGCCAGTCACTGAGAGACTGCCAAAAGTCAGTGGAAGGCTTCTTTTTTAATGTATTTTTGCCTTTCAAAGGTTTTGTTGGACTGCTGTCCAGCTCCATTCTTTTGCTTTTACCAAATTTGAGGAATCTTGTCTGGTGAAGGGTGAACACCCTTCTGTAGATCTGTTTTCTGACACAGCATGCTTTTGTCCTGCTTTCAGAGTTGCTTCTTGGCATTGTTCACTAGGAAATAGAAGGTGGGCTGACCTCTGTTTAGTTCATTTAAATGTTCTCATGATTTCTAAGCATAAAAATCAGATTCTGTTTTTTTGTTGTTGTTTATATAAGATTTGAAGACCTATTTAGGATGGTATTGACAACTGTAATGCTGGTTTCCGAGTAACAAAGTATTAGTGATACACCAGTAGCAGAGTTTAAGCAAACAGTATCTATGCATCTGACTTAACGTTCACAACTATTCTAAATAACTTTTTGGGAAAAATAATCCAGAGGAAATGAGTCAGTTTAAGCTTACTTCAGTTCTTCCTCCTCTCTTCAATACATCTTCACTTACAGTGTCAAGAATATGTCAGCTTCCATAAGTCAGGCCCAAGGCTGTACTGAAAAAAATGAGACCTTACCTGGTCCTGCTAAAAACGATTCTAAATTTGTGGTTGATTTCACAGAAACTTATACAGCACTTTGAAGAGCAGTTTAACTTAGTTTGTAAGAGCAAATAAGTTATCAGGTTATAGAGAAAAGAGAATAGCCCCATAGTGTAGTTTTAATCATGTAATGGGAAGGAGTGCCAGAGTCCAGCCATGAGCAAAAGATTCATTTAGATCACAGTTAGCATTTGGCAGTTCCAGCACTTCCTTCCACACAAGGAAGATAAAACAGTGTTGTGGAAGAGCATCTTCCATAGCTGAGTTATGGAACTGCAGCACCAAAGCTGACGTGCTCTAAAAATGGATCTTCCTGCAGCAGTGTACAGGAATGCTCACCTTTCTGAGCTCATCTTATGAACAGATAGAGCAAATGGTATATTGACAAGACCTAAATCCAGCCTGAAGGGATCAGAGCAGGCATGGTTCTCAGCATCCGGCCATTCTGAAGGAGCTGAGTGTCCAGGTACTCTGTTACTTGTTCATGCAAGTGCTAACTCTAGGCCATACCTAGCTGATTCCAAAGCAGTGGTGCCAATGCATAGCAGTAAAACAGAGCAGCCCTTCGATTTCTGAAGCACACACTGCTAGAGTTTTTTGGTAAGTGGAAAGGGAAATACATATATTTGTGTTAGAACTGGAAAGAGTTGTTTTTCTTGGCAGAGATAAATATATCTAGATACCAGTTAATTTATTTTATCACTCTCTCAAAAGGAAACACTATCCTAAGTATCTGTAGATCCAATGTAACTAGTCTGTTCCATACACTTAATTCCTACTACAGGAAGTGGGAGATGGAAAAATCATGAGAATGCTCGGGCTTGGATTCGTGCTGGCTAAACACAAGCTCCTTTATTGTGAGCTGATTCTTAACAGTGAGTGAGGATCATGTTAAGAGAAATTTGGTTCACTTGAGAACTTAGCTGCCCTCTGGAGACACCTGGGTCTCCCCATTAAGGAGGGAGGCTACTCCACCTGCTGAAAGTAACACAGGATGAATCCAAACATGGCCTGTGATGTCTGAGCCTGTATCAGCCCTGTGGTGATATGGTGATTTTCCTTGACTATAGCATTCAGGTTCTGGTCAGTCAAAAGTGAAAAGACAGAAAAAGTAGAGAAGTAGTAGTACTCTTTTTTGCATATCTCCTCCTTTCCCAAATTAAAGCCTTTATTTAGGAAAAAAAACCCAAATCTAATAATCTTGATATGCAGAATCCTTTCTGCTAGACTTAACTTAGTGGGACAGAAAACAGGCTGAGTATAATGGCAGCACTGGTAGCCTTTACTCAAGATGCCAGCAAATTCCAGCCTAAGCTGGAAAGTTTCTTGTGTCAAGACTGAGCAGGGTATGGTGAGAGTTTTACTGTGCTGTCTCAGCGTGCAGTGCACGTATGGAAAAGATGTAGGGTTTCATTATACCGCAGTCTGGAGCAGCAGCATATCTGAGGATTTATCACATGTAACCTACTACTTTGTGCTTTCATATTTAGCAACATCTTTATATAAAATGTTTTTAGAATTCTGCTGTTTGCATTTTGTCAGGCTTCTGTGTAACATGTAATAATGACCGCTGGAAGTAAAGGAACCTCACAAGTGAGCTCATTCACCTCCGTAACCCACATTTTGGTCCTGAAAGTATTGTGTCAGTGCCACAATGTTAGCAAAATAAAGAAAGAAACTAAACTGGAAAATCCACTTCCATGGTACCTCTGTGTGTAATAAGGCTGTTGGTATGAGTAGGATGTTGCGTAATGTGAGGAGAAGATACCAGCTGAAAGAATATGTTTGAATTTATGTGGAAGGAGAGGGTGGAAGTATCAGAGTGAGTAAAGAAATAATAGTTCTTGTTTATTCTGTGGTTTTGTTCAAAATGTTACACATTTGTTTCATTCCTTCTGTGTCGAGTGTCCTGCCTGGGTAAAATTACTGTTGAAGAAATACCGACTGACTGACAAGGGTCTTGATCTGTCCTTGGTTTTTAATAAAAACACTGTAGTTTGGCTTTTGTTTGTTGATTTGTGTGTTTGATTTCTTTTCTTAAATAAGCCTGAGGTTTGGAGCCTGCTGGCAGCTATGCGCCTCCTTCAGGTTCTTTTGGCACATGATTTGGGTCTAAGCATGTAACTTCTGCAGCATGCTGTGAGCTTCATGTGAAGTCCCTGAACGTCAGCTTCTCTGCAACTAACTGGGATAAAAGATTTGTCACCTCAGCCTTCTCCCCCTGCTTTCAAGGTGGTAAGAAGCTGAAGACAGTTGATAAATTACTGTCCTGGTTTCAGCTGGGGAAGTTATTTTTCTTCCCAGTAGCTGCTACGGTGCTGTCTTTTGGCTTTAGTCTGAGAACAACGCTGATAACACACCAATGTTTTTAGTTGTTGCTAAGCTGGAGACCAGTAACGAGTGGTGTCCCTCAGGGAGCGGTGTTGGACCGGTCTTGTTCAACATCTTTGTCGGTGACATGGACAGTGGGATTGAGTGCGCCCTCAGCAAGTTTGCCGATGACACCAAGCTGTGTGGTTTGGTTGCTATGCTGGAGGGAAGGAATGCCATCCAGAGGGCCCTTGACACGCTTGTGAGGTGGGCTGATGCCAACCTCATGAAGTTTAACCATGCCAAGTGCAAGGTCCTACAGCTGGGTCGGAGCAATCTCAGGCAGAGCTACAGGCTGGGCAGAAAAGAGATTCAGGGCAGTCCTGTGGAGAAGGACTTGGGGGTGTTGGTCAATGAGAAACTTAAAATGAGCCCGCTTAAGTGTGAGCTCGCAGCCCAGGAAGCCAACCGTATCCTGGGCTGCATCAAGAGAAGCATGACCAGCAGGTCGAAGGAGGTGATCCTGCCCCTCTACTCTGCTCTCATGAGACCTCACTTGGAGTATCGTGTGCAGTTCTGGTGTCCTCAACATAAAAAGGACATGGAACTGTTGGAACAAGTCCAGAGAAGGGCCACGAGGATGATCAGGGGACTGGAGCACCTCCCATATGAAGATAGTCTAAGAAAGTTGGGGCTGTTCATCCTGGAGAAGAGAAGGCTGTGTGGAGACCCCCTAGCAGCCTTCCAGTACCTGAAGGGGTCCTATAGGGATGCTGGGGAAGGACTCTTCACTAGGGACTGTAGTGATAGGACAAGGGGTAACGGGCTCAAACTTAAACAGGGGAAGGTTAGACTGAATATAAGGAAGAAGTTCTTTATTGTAAGGGTGGTGAGGCACTGGAACGGGTTGCTCAAGGAAGTTGTGAATGCTCATCCCTGGTGGTGTTCAAGGCCAGGTTGGACAGAGCCTTGGGTGATATGGTTTAGTGTGAGGTGTCCCTGCCCATGGCAGGGGGGTTGGAACTTGATGATCTTAAGGTCCTTTCCAACCCTAACTTTTCTGTGATTCTATGATTCTAATGCTTCCTGTGACAGAGGACTTTTTCAATCTCATGCTCTGCTGGTGAGGCAGGTCATGGGAAGCCAAAAGGAAGCCGAGACAGGACACCTGACCCAAACTAGCCAAAGGGGTATTCCATATCACACAGCGTCCTGCCAAGTAGATAAACTGTGCACAGTTGCCTGGTAGATACTGATTGCTGCTTGGTTTGGGCTGCGTATCAGTCAGTGGGTGGTGATCAGTTGCATTGTGCATCACTTTGGTTTGGGTTTGGTTAGCCGTTTCGTTTTTTTTTTGTTGTTGTTGTTGTTGTTTTTATTTTTTTTTCTTTTGTTTTGGGTTTTTTGTTTTTTTTCCTATCTCATCTCTCACATGATTATTTATTTCCCTTTATGATACTTTATTAGCACTAGTATTAGCATTTTATGTACTTTATTTAAATTATGAACCTGTGCTTATCTCAGCCCCCAGGTTTTACCTTCTTGCAATTCTCCCCACCACAGCGGGGGAAGTGGTGAGTGGCTGTGTCATACGTAGATGCTGTCTGGGGTTAAACCACAACACTTAGAAACGAATTGCTGGCTGTCCAGGGCTTAAAATGAATTGTGCAGGTGAGGAAGTAGGTGGAAAACCCATTTCCAAGTGCATTGGTGCTGGATTGTAAGTGGTGTGTGTGTGTGTGTTGAGAATTGCTAGGTGATGGGGAGGAACAGGATGAACTGAATATGATCTCCAGAGATGGAGATGAACTGAGCCCTTGCCGGCCGTGCAGACGCTGCAGAGTCAATGAGGAGCGCAGAGGAGGTGTTTGTGAGCTCTGGGAGTGAGGAACGCTAGCCACTGCTGGTGCGTGTGTAAAAAGAATGGCAGACTGCCACGTGCAGCGCCTCACTTGGATGTGTCTGCAGTCTTGGAAGCTTGACTACCCTACGTTCTCCTACAACTGGACCTTGAGCTTGTTTGGAGGTTCTAGCAGGGGAGCGCAGCTACCGTATACCCGTGACCGATGAACGGTACCGCCTCTATCGGGGAAGGTCGTCCTCTTCGACCGAGCGCGCAGCTTCGGGAGGGACGCACGTGGAGCGGTGAGGGAGGAAGGGGACACCCGCCTAGCCAGCCAGATCAGCCGAATCAACCCTGGCGATCAATGGGGTGACAGATGTCGCAGCCAGATCGCCCTCACATCCAACGAAACAAACCAACCCAAGGCCTATTTATCTCCTGCGCTTCCAATGATCTCTACCTCACGGCGATTCGGCACAGGACGGACACACGCAGACAACCCCCACGACAAGTCCCACGACAACCCCCCCCAAGACAACCCCCCCCCACGAGACTAACAAACGTGCCGGGATGCGAGGCTTCAAAAGCGAAAACGGCAGCTTTGCAGCGCTGCTTTCCTCCTAGGAGCCTTTGAGACGTATGCAGATTACAGAATGCCTATTGGCGGATGGCGCCATGGGCACCGCCTCCTGCCGATGGGCCTCAGGGAGCACCAGCCCGGCCCAGCCCCCTTCTTTTCCTGCCTTTTCCTCTGGAGAAATCCACCAATAGGCATTCTGTAATCTGCATATGTCTCAAAGGCTCCTAGGAGGCAAGAAGCGCGGCAAAGCTGCCGTTTTCGCTTTTGAAGCCTCGTATCCCGGCAGGTTTGTTAGCCCGTGGGGGAGGGGTTGTCGTAGGGCGCTTGTCGTGGGGATTGTCTGCGTGTCTCCAGTCTGAGCGGAATCGCCGTGAGGTAGAGATCATTAGAAGCGCAGGAGATAAATAGGCTTTGGGTTGGCTTGTTTGGTCGGATGTGAGGGCGATCTGGCTGCGACATCTGTCACCCCATTGATCGCCAGGGTTGATTCGGCTGATCTGGCTGGCTAGGCGGGTGTCCCCTTCCTCCCTCACCGCTCCACGTGCGTCCCTCCCGAAGCTGCGCGCTCGGTCGAAGAGGACGACCTTCCCCGATAGAGGCGGTACCGTTCATCGGTCACGGGTATACGGTAGCTGCGCTCCCCTGCTAGAACCTCCAAACAAGCTCAAGGTCCAGTTGTAGGAGAACGTAGGGTAGTCAAGCTTCCAAGACTGCAGACACATCCAAGTGAGGCGCTGCACGTGGCAGTCTGCCATTCTTTTTACACACGCACCAGCAGTGGCTAGCCTTCCTCGCTCCCAGAGCTCACAAACACCTCCTCTGCGCTCCTCATTGACTCTGCTGCATCTGCACGACCAGCAAGGGCTCAGTTCACGGTTTAATTTCATGTTTTGTTTTATTTTAGTGACTGCCCTCTCAGCTGTGTGTCCCACACAATCCTCAGTCTCCCCTTTACATGTCTCCTCTGAGACCAAGCCAATTTCTTGAGGTTTCATGTGGACTCACCTTGCAGGAGCTTCTCATACTGCTCTCAAGTTTCCAAAAGCTCCTCTTCACATCAACATGATCTGCCATGCTGGCTGTCGTCAGTCACCCACCTACTCTCCATATGCCTTAGCACAGCTCCCAGGAGGATGTGCTCTGTGATCTTGCCAGGCAGCAAGGTGACACTGGCCTGTAGTTTCCCAGCCCTTCCTTGCTTCCCCTTTTTAAAAGGGGATTATGTTTGCCCTTGCCCAGTAAGCAGGAACTTCACCAGACTGCCCCAAGTTCTCAAATGTGATCAGGTCTCATGGCTTGTGTACCTCCATGTTCCTTAGATGGTCTCCAACCTGATCTCCAGCAGCAGGTGGTTCTTCATTGTCCTTATCTCTGCCCAGAGAAAGCAAATCCACTGCTGTTTTGCTGGGCAGATACAGTACTTCTTATGCAAGGAACATGCCTATCATCCAG